CAGTATGTCAGGGACTGTTGAAATATGTATGACATGTTATGGACGTCTTATATTACAAGTAGTCTTAGCGTATGCTGCTGTTGTTACCTTAATGTAGAATCTGTGTAGTTGATCTCCTGTGGGACTCCAATAAATACAGTAAATGTGTCTTTATTATTGGTGGGGGAGCCTTAGCAGCATGAAGATGGCCACCCCCTCCCCCCAAATGGGCCATTTCTCTTTTTCTACTTGTCCAGAACATGGGAATGGATGCAGTCAGCAGGTTTTTTGTTTTTTGTTTTTTTCAGTCAGAAGATGAGAACAACCTGGGTCAAATATTATCTGCAAATATTCATAGAGTTTGTTTTAGTAACTGAAGCAACAGATGGGGTGGGGTTCAACTCAAGTCAGGAGGTGTTTTTTTTGATCAGCTTCACTATGTTGTTACATCAACACACAGTCAAAGTTGTTTGCAAAAAGTTTGAACTGCTGTGGTTCTTTAACGTGACTTTTTTTTTTTGTGTTGTGGATTTTCGCCGCTCATTATCCATGTAAATTCCACCGCTGGACGTTTAGTGCAGTCCATGTTGATTCGTCTCAAACAGCCAGTGTCTGAAGGTAGCGAGTTCTTTATGTTGCTACTTAACCCCAACTCCAAATTAATGAGCATGTTGCTTCATAACAGCTGGGTGTCTAAATAAGCAACTTTTTGGTGTCAAGTCCACCCTGTCAATTTTTTTAATAGGTAGTGATATGTCAGTGTTGTGTTTTTTCTTTTTTTTGTAAAGTTTATTTATTTATTTGATAGGGACAATGCAATTTAACATAGTTTCATAGCAGGGTATGAAACTATGTGTTGCACAGAGAGTTTATAGCCATTGCTAATTCTCGACATGTGTAATGGAATCAAAACTGTCAATAGCAAAAACAACACAAAAAAGACAACACAATTGATAATACCTTACAATTAGCTAAAAACATACACAACAACAGTCTAAATAGAGACAACAACAGCACAAGAAGCTACAAGTAGTCAACACAAAAAACAACTCTGGATACAACTATCACAACTTGTTTCCACTGCCCCCTAGTGGCCAAAAACATCAGTTCACGCAGGGTTAAGTGCACAACTACTTTTCTGTTTAGTTTTTCAGTTTTTTTTTTTCTATCTCACCTTTCTGGCACCTACACAAGGTAAAACAAACCACTAAAAGTATTTGCGAGTGTGATTTTGACTCAGGTGTTGAAAACAGTCATTGTTTAGCCTGTTCCATTTCCTGTTTTTCTCCTTCACACCTTTTTGACATCCTTTATAAAGTGGGACGGCAAGAGAGGATGCTTCCGATCTATCAGGGAATTTCTTCCATGTTGACTGAATTACTAGAGAAATCCAAATGTTTGCTTCTTCGACTTTTTCTTTCCACGTCCCGGTCTTGTAGTGTGAACGATGCAGGCCCTTTAGACTTTTCAGGTGTGTACAGACTTATATGGGAATGACGAATTTAAAAAAAAGAAAGAAAAAAAAGGTATTTGTCTGATTAAGGAAGAGAGAGATGGTGTTTATGCAATTTACTATTTTTAAGATCTAATACATGATTTCTGTGTAGCAAGAAGGCTGGCTTATGGTTTAACAGATGTTTTCTTTGTAGGGGTGCTACCTCCTTGTTTCTAAACAAAGGGGTTGCGATCTGAGGATGTTCACATGCTATGTATTAGAAAACATATATTTTTGATGTCTTTTTTTTGAATGATGATTGTCTCTAAAAGAACTATTACATAACATTTTGCTGTATTACTATTATTAAAACTCATTCCATACTATTTTCCATTTGATTAGAAGTGGGATGAAGGACGAAATTACTTTTTGTCCGCACATATGAAGTATTTACAGTTGTACTCTCTCGTAGTGTCCACTGCAAACTGTACTTCTCTCTCTAAATGATACCCTAACATTGTGTGTGGCTATACTGTTTGTTTGTGTCTGTTTGTCTGTGCGAGTGTGTGTGAATGTGTGCCGAGCGAGTGTCTAGTAGACGAAGCTTAGGTTCATGTCCTTTAAAGATACAGTAATGTTCTCCTAGAGGTGCATGTTAACCAAACTGTGAGCAAGTTTATTGACAATGTGTAGCTTTTTTTGTGTATGAAAACATCATAGCTACTCTAGAAACATCACCCAGGTCTTCTGGTGATTTAGCACTGTGGTTTTGCATCTTACTCCAGTTAGTTAGGAAGGATATTTTTCCTCAATCAGATTTGATTTATCCAGATGGGGACGAGACAGCGTTTGGCCGCTCTCCCCACTCTTTTGAAAATGTGTAAAACATCTGAATGTTTTGCATTTTAAGTGCCCATTTTAATTGACATCTTCAAATCATGATTTGTGTGGTTTGATTTCTCTGAAGTGGTGTCTACATATTGCTATTTAAAATGGTTCACAACGAGCAACTGAGATAAACAAAAAGTAAGACATAGAGAGACATTGATTAAACTATAAAGGGCTTCTTAATCTATCGGTCTTTATTGAATTGTGATGACCTTGTTGCATGTTTGTGTGTTTCTTGTGGAAAAATAAATGTGCCCTCGACGGGTAGTTTGTTTGACCTTTTGTCACCTTGGCTCTTCCTGTTTTTGTTTCCCTCCACTCGGTGGCGCGTCCTCCTTCATTCAGCTCCACCATTTCCTTCTCCCTGGGCAGCTGCTCTGTGCCTTGTTATATGGATATAAATGAGCTTTGCTTGAGCTGTGGAGTGCAGCAGAAACACTTCTCACTGCCAGTAAATTTGCTTTATGGTCATTTTTTGTCAGTGGCTTCTGTATGTTGGTGCTGTGGTTGAAGAGCTGTGGTGGGCGCATACTAAAGCAGCCTGTTCACCGAGCTTCCCCTTCAGAACACCCCTCTTCCTTCCAGCACTGACCCAGCAGCTCAGGGGTCAGTCTGCTCTGAATTCTGGTACCTAACCCCCAACACCACACCCACCACCCCACCTTGCTCTGCCTCCTCTCATCACTCACCTTTCATCCCTAATGAGAGAGCCAGGGAGACTGTGCTGCATCACTGCAGGTAGGTCTGTTCTCATTAGCATTTAAATAAGGCCGGGAGGAGGAACAGATGCAAACATTGTTTGTGTGGCACGATTTAACATTAGATTCTGACTCCTGTTGGTTTGTACAGTCTGCGGTTATGGTGGTTTGATTAAATTATTCATTTGAACAAAGGGGTGGTGCGGTAACCATGACACTGAGGCTGCTCTGGGATCTGTCAGACACGTAATGACATTTCCGGTAATATCGTGAATGAATGAATGTCACTTCATGCACTGACTCAGACCTTCCACATTAAAACTAAGAGTGGAATGGGCATAATACAGAAAATTAGATACTTAGTATTAATAATTTCTGCACTTCATTCAACCCAGGTTAACTAGAATGGAAAAAGCAATTACTGCGGTTACTGTGCAGGGACATTTTTTTTTCTGAGCACAAATTTGACACTAGACTTGTTAGGTGAAATAAGAGTTTACTGAATAATACAGTTGTGTTTAGTTCACAGTAACAATCCACTTGGAACAAACCATCATGGTGTATTTGCAAAATAAAGTACAGGCAGTGTGTTTTTCCTTTTTTCTTGTCATAATAAGAGCCCTCATTCAGGGAATATAAAGTTCACAAACAACAGCTGATGTGTGAAGTGGCAAATCAATAAAACCAATTTTGGAAAGCAGCAAATACAAAAACACTTAGGAAATAACTCTGTATCAATGTAGCCTATTGATTGTCGTGTCTGGCATGTGTACTGTAGTTAATGTGGGAGGAACGTTTACTCCATACAGCTGGACCAGAATAAAATCTAAACGGCTCCAGAGGCAGGGTGACATGCTGAGGCTATCTGAGCGATCACAGATCTGATCGCCATTACACTCAGTGACCTTCTGTGTTTCAGGGAAAGACACTGAACACTACTCCCTCTATGGGAAATGGCTTTACAACATGTTCGTGTACAGTTTCTGTGTGTCTCACTGATACAGAAAATGGAATCAAAATTCTACTTTTTTTCATTTTCTAAAAACTAATTTGGCATCTCAAAAATATCCTGACACGTGTGAGCCAAATGTAGTGGCACCAAAATCTCAAGAAAATGTAAACTCATCAAATGGGACTATCTCACATAATTGTTACCTCTATTGTCTCAGTTATATCAAAGACTGATCTTTTATGTGTATGGACATTATATTTTCAAACAGGTAAATATTACCCATATGACTTCAGGAATGGCTACATCAAGTGTTTTTAAATATGCAGATTACATCAGAACCAAACATTTAAGTTGACTGGCCATAGCACCGAACAAAAGCACATTGTTTTGTATAAAGGGACCAAAGCAACACTTAAAATAATATTCATTTTGCTCACTGTACAGGCAGCGTTATACTGTGGCATGTGCACCAGCATTTCATAAACTCATGTTGGAATGACCTATAATGTTAATGTCACTGCTACATTACGGCCACGGTGATAAATTGCCTCAATAAAATACAAAACGTTGATAAAAGCAATATCAAAACAGCTTACATTCAGGTACCGTAGATGACACTACAACAAGCTCTTTGCATAAAAATGTGTGACCGAGGTCCTGTACAGTATCTCAAAATATAAAAAGCTTCTTTTCACATTTCACAACAAGTGGATGCAGGCCATGCAACAGATTGCTTGTTATCTACATAAAAAATATGAAGTCAGATCATGCTTTAAAAGTCCCTCGGCCCCCCTTTATCGTCAAGTATTATAATCTCTCCCTGGCGCTATTGAAGTCAGTGGCATTCAGAGAATACAAAAAGATTCAAAGTGGCGGAATTTCCTGTGCTCTTTACAGCAGGGAATGGACTAAAAGGCTGGAAGAGGTTGCACCCTGTGGCCACTTTTTCTCCCTGACTATCAAGAGAGTGAATATCTGATGCTCACTTGTGTTGGTACAGGATGCCCCCCCCCCCCAGGCATTAGTGGATCCTAGTCCAATGTCGAGTCTAGGGATTCAGAATGACACCGGTGGCGTCCTCCTTTTCTCTGCACTGGAATGTGGCGTGAGCCTGCTCCAGATCCTCTGTGACCGCCAACAGCCGAGCAGCGACACTCTGACCTGGCTTCAGAGGCTGAACGTTGCATTCTGCACCATCTGTGAGACAGGAAGTGTGCAGTGTTATCAAACTAAATATATGTAACCATGATGATAACAGGAACAGAACTGAAAATGTACAGCTTAGACGCAGCAGCTGCAGCCTCACCTGGGCGATGGTCAGAGCTGATCTTCTTTTCTTTATTGCTCGGTGTCTGATCAGTGTCTGGCACCTCCAGATATTTTTTCCTGCAGTAACAGTCAGAGACATTAATCATATGATCACTCACCATTCTTCAAAAGCTGCTTTGTATTTTCACGCAGTGACAGTTCAACATTTGATAGTAATGTCAAGACGCATCAGCAGCAGCAGCAGCAGCAGTCGAGCAGTGTACTCCTGTGTTGCAACATAGCCCTCTAGTGTCAGGTAACTGAACTACACCCAGGCTACTTCCTCTACTGACCTGAGTTTATCTCTGCCCTGGAGAAGCTGCTTGTATATGGTCTGAGTCTCAACGTCAGGGTCCAGCGGGTCACTCCAATCACCCAGAGTCACAGCTGAGTGGGTTCGACTGCAGCCTGTAACTAAGAACCAACCTTTTATTGAGCAGTGGTGCTCTACATATGAACCTCAAACAAATATCCTTCAACTTGACAATTTGATGGAGGTCTCATAGTACTACAAGTTTGAGTGCAAATAGCTGCAGTTGCAATCAAAAAATACCATGCAAGAAATAAAATCATGCAGCTTTCAGACAGTGACTAAATGTAATTGGTCAGACAAAATCACATTATGATTCTCAGAGCTCGTTCTCCACTCAAGCAGCAAAGACATGGCAGCTACAAATGGAGGGTTTAGTCATTAAATATGGATCGCCAGGAGCTCATTCACTCTTTGAAACCAGCTACAAGTAAAGTAAGAGAGTGTAATGTTGTGAATTAGATGTAAACCTGCATGTTCATGGAAAATACTGCTTATGCTCTGGGATGCTTTCAATTCACGAGCATCCTTCTGGGGGCGCCTTGGGGGTAATTCGACACATTCGACACACAAATCTGAGCTACATTTTCATATATACCCACAAAACGCACAATAAAAACTGGTTAGATAGTTACGCCACACACTGGGTCCCTGTAGAGGGATTTCTAAGTTTGTGCAGCGTCAGAAGTAATAAAAGCAGGATTACCAGGACGATCTGCCTGCAGGCAGCAAGTCCACTTGCCGCTGCGATGAGCCCCTGGGTGGAAAGAGGGCAGCATGCGCTCATTGTAGATGCTGACTTTCCTGATCGCTGATAGCCACTGGTTCAGCTCATTAACGTTCTATTCAGAGGGGGGGAAATGAGTTTAGTGGCCCCTGAAAGTCATACTGAAATCAAAGCAGGGGGGAAATATATCATTTAAATGAAAAATAAAACAATTCCTTTACTTTTTCTAATAAAAGACAATCATCATCAGTGTTTATTTGATCATAACTCTAATCTAAAAATCCAGCAAACTGTCACCAAAATCAAGGAAATGATGCTTTTCAAATTTTTTCAAACTGAAAAAGGTCATGAACTTGTTTGGTGACTGGCTGGTGTCAGTACCAATGCACCTTGCACTGGATGTACATGGTGTGCAGCTGTCCGTCGTTGTCCTGGGAGATGACCTGCATTACATTCTGCTGTTGAAAGGCATTTTCATCCACCCTCTCCACGGCGCACACACATTGAATAGGGATTGAGGAGCGCACCTGCAACAATTCAGTCACAAACCACAGCACCAATTAACACAAGTATGCATAGGCCAGTGATGAGGGATCATGCTTTTTGCCTCAGGCAGTTTAGACTGAGGTCTAAGTGAAATAAAAGAGACATTTGATCAAAGGGCAAATTACTTGAGCAGTGTACTGATACTGAAATATTTTTCACACATTAGGCCAGAGAGGAACAGTGTGAGGCAAGGAGGAAGTGAAGATGAGATCAGCGTGGCAGCAAAGGCCACTTTTAAGTGTAAATCAGCCACTTCCAATGGGAGCTCGCTTCACTGAGACTGGAGTGCTCCAACATGGAGGAAAGGGGCCAGGACATTGTCTGCAATCTGATTTGCAATGTTAGCATGAATATCCACAGCCTTCAATTAACCCTCGCCTTTATTCCAGTCGCACAAAGCAGAGACTGGCTCAAAGAGAGAGCTTTTTACTGGGAGAGCCTGCTCCCCTCTCTGTCTCCCTCTCTCTCTCTCTCTCTCTCTCTCTCTCTCAGTCTCTGGTTGGTGAATGAGAGGAGATCATTATCACAAGGCTAGGCACCACATGGTAATAACACTAATGATGTTCTCACAAGGAGATCAACACAAATACATTAAAGCAAGCTGGAGATGACTAAAATGTTTCCTCTTTTTATGAGCCAAGTTGATAAACGTCCTTCAAAGGACAGACACAGTGACTGATTCATCATCACAAGACCTATCAGCTTCTAATAATGGATGAGTCACTTTCACATGACTTTGATTCAAGTTTACTCATCTATTTTGTGGTCTGTATATAAGAGAAAGAAAATGATTAATCATATATATGGCATATATGCAGTAGAAGACAAATTCAAAAACACAGCTGGTAAAGTGGAAAAAAAATCACACATCAATATATATTGGTGGAATGTGGCCTTTAGCTTACTGGTTTAGTACCGACCTGCCAATCAGGGGTCTTGGCGTAGGACAGTGTCTCACTAGTCAACCAGAAGTAGCGTTTCTTGAAGGCAAAGCGGGACAACAGTTGAGGTCCCTCTGCTTTGTGTTTGTGGAGGTACCCCTCTTTAACTGTGACAGAGGGCATGAATACAGCCCTCTGAGGCACCTCGGACACTGCAGGGAGAACAGGAAATGTAAAGAAGAACTGTATTTGTAATGTACATGTGAAGGCATGTTCATCCATATAGACACAAGGTGGTGCTGTGACAATAAGCAAACAAGAGTACATTGAGTTGTTTAACTACAGTACATGTCTTTATCTTCAGCACTTTGCTATCGATGGCACCTCAGCCCTCCTTCCATCACCACATGAAGAACAGCTTCAAAGAGGAATAACAAGCATCCACTTCTGTCTAACAAATCCACCTGAAGAGCATTAAATGTCAAACTGGCCTTTAAGAAAAAAGAGTGGGTGTGATGTGCAGAAGGAGGCTGAAACATGATACGTCAGAGGGGGAAGATGTTTCACAACAACCACCTCACTGACACATGACGCTAAGAAAGCAGCCCAGACAAGTTGGGCAACCAGTGTGGCGTGTACAAGCGCCTGTAGCTTCTCACTCCAGCTCCCCGCCAGCTCATTAACCATGTCATTTCTTTTCTAAACTCCAAGCTGCTTATGAATATTTCATCACAGGGCTACAGTATTGTTTTGCCTAATCCTGATATCAGCTGGAAGCCACTAGCAGCTGGCCTGTGGTTGATTACCTCAACAGCTTGACCTCTGAACTTTCCTTGTGATTACAAGTTTAACGGTGTATCCACTGTTATCAGCCTTACCAATGTCATGATCTATGTCGATCAACTTGTCAAGGAAGTCTTTCACAGAGGCCACACTGCGAAGGATGATGGGATGAAGAGGCGCCATCCACTGCTCCTTTCCGTGACCCAGCTGAAGGCCCAAGTTCCCGACACTTTGTAATGCCTGGCAACCACAAAAAGACACAACACCCACTCAACGCTCACACCTTCAGCACATCAACTCTCTGGCAAGTGACAGAACTCAGTGTGAGTGACTGCATATCTCAAAGTCAGAGATCAAAAGGGTCCATGAGGCCAAGCATGCTGTGAGGCCCTTTGTCCGGCCCACACCTGGCCTAGGGCGAGGAGGAAGTCCCTCTCGACACCCCTCTCTGATGCTCGGCTTTGAACCGTAGTCTGGTCGCAGTACACACAAAGGTAAAAATAGCCTGTTCCCTCTCTCTGTAGAGGACCCATGGCAACAGCCCTTCAGCACCACGGACAGCAACCACAGTAGCCACACGTGGGAGAGGAACGAGGTTTCACTTTTCTTCTAATATGTGACCATGACACCGTTGCTTTTAATGACATCAAGGTTGTTTTCTACAGTTGGTGGTCTCTTCAATTCAAAAGCATGGTGAGCTCTTTGTTCCTTGTTACTGGCCTTTCTTGCCAGTAACAAGGAAATGTTTCTTTGGTGTCTTTCCTTTGCAATTTGATCTATTTCCGGTTGTAGCAGGATGTTTGAGCATGTCACAATGTGTGAAGGTCTTCTTCAGGTCTTGTTAAATCATGACAGACAATCACACTGAAAACCACTGCATACCTGGTGTAGTTAGTCAAACAATCCACTGCAAGGTGTGTTGTGTGTGATTTTGAGTTGTCATGAATTTACTACACACATAGAATAAACACTGTATGTTGTATTCCTGCTTCATATTTATTTGTTTTGCACAAAATTAAAAATCCTCACTGCTGGCAAACATGCAGCGTCACGTCCAGTTGCATCCACCTCTTTGCTGTTTGTTTTTCCTTCATTTAACTGTGATGACTGAAAATGAATAAATTATTCATAGCAGTATCTGCGTGTATGTCTGTGTTGTGCATCGTACCTTGGCCAGTAGTAACAGTGTTCTGCTTGTACGCGTGTCAGCGTGCTGGTCTCTCAGCTGGAACAGTTTAGGTGTGAGGATTGCAGGAGCAAAAAAACGCAGGAAGAAGAACCCACTGATGGCCAGATACTTCACATCCTGTAAAAAAAGGGGGGTAAATTTGACAGGAAAGTTAATGAACCTTAGGACTGGCTCTTAGGATAAGAGTGGTAGCTGAATGTGTAACATGCAAAGATGATGTAAAAATGATTAAATCTAAAATATGCAAGACCTACAAATACATACAAATATACTGGCAGGTTTAGAGAAGGTGTTTCCATTTTCAGTGTGTTTTGCTCCAGACTGACCTCATTCTCAGGTTCAGCAAATTGCTCCTCTACTCTCTTGTGCAGCTGTTTGAAGGCCACTCTCATGACAGGAGGACACTGATCGACTGAGCCCACGATTGATTCAGTGATGCTTGTTAAGTAGCCCTGCAGCATCTCCACACTGCTGTCCCGTACCTCTGCCTCTGACACTGCTCCCTTGAATGAAATTCGTCTTTGGAGACAAAGAAAGATTTTGTCAGTCATTGTCAGTACACAGTCCTAAGACAAGGTACCAGCCATGTTGTATATAGATTTGGTTGAATCATGTAAGGGCCATACTCAATTAAGCATATTAATCAAATATACTCAAATATACAGTGTCTTTTTTAATATAACTGATAATGTAGTCGCATGTTAGAGCATGCAGTTTCATTAATTGGACAGCGTATAGACAGGGAGTGGTGACAACTAATAAGGTGATGGCAGGCAGATGTACTGCAGATGTAGAGGATGTTAGATCCTGGATCTCCCTCCATGTCAGAGACATCTCAGGGGGCTCATGGCAGTTGCCAAGCAACAGCCTTCCCCCTTTTCACATTCCTTTTTTCCGTTTTTTTTATCACAGTAATGTCTTCCTCTCAGGGGAGAAGTGTAAAAGAAGCGGGCAGTCTCCTGTGGCAGCATTTCCATTTGACCATTTCAACACATAGGACTGTGAACTACACAGGTGAACCTACAACCCGAAATCCCCACTAGTCATTTGTGGCTTAAGACAAGCATCTGTGAAACAGATCTGGACTAGTTTAAGTCAGAATATGTTTGTAGTAATGTGAGCTCCAGGAGGATTATGTTTGAGGTGTGTTTTACCTTGTGCGGTTCAGGTCAATCTTACATGGGTCCAGCTCGATGTATTTCTTCTCTTCAAAGATGCGGTTGATGATGGGCTTCAACACCTCATGCAGATACAGCATGCCAACAGCCTGACAGCAAAACAATACCATATGTTTAAGACTTCTCATTTGCATCTATACTACAGCAATTATTTTCTAAATGTGTAAATCTGCATAATACAAAGAGTAAACAAGGTGCAGTGTGATGCAGGAGGGGTGCATAAGACATGTCAGTAACTAAGTATACATTTAATAGCAATAGGGAATGTTCAGGGGGAAAAAGATTGACCAAAATGTTGCAAAACATATCATATCATGCTGAAAAATCTATTACTTACAATTCCTCATAAAACAAAACAAGAGATACGTCAACACACCTTCATGAACTGTTCCATGGCCTTTGAGGCAAGTGAGTTAGAGCGAAATAAAGTGTTGGGATCAGCTGTGACAGCAGAACAGAAAAGAGACTAGGTTAGATTTATAGTAAATAATAACATCATTTAACCTAAATATACATTATGTAATACTACATATTAAATTATAACAGGGATGCAGCATCTTACATTTTAGGGAAACATGAACATGATCAATTTAAAGAACAAGGAAAGTGTCTGTTGTACAGAAAGATCAATTCATGTAACATCTATCATATGTATGTCTACTCTTTGCAATGTTTATTTTTAAGTTTTTTTTTTTCAAAGAAAATCTTCCACAAAACATTTTCTTTCTGTGTGATTTTGGAGTAAAAATCTTTTTGGACTAAACTTGACTTGATTTTACTTGAGTAAGTTCACTGAGTCAGCTTTCTCCACATTAAAAAATAAGAAGAAGAAACAGGGGTTAAGGTGCTGAACATGAACCACAATGTCCCTGCTTTGCCTCTGGCCAGAGGCCCTTTGTTGCATGTCATTCCCCATCTGCATCTCTCATCATTTCCTGTCTCTCTCTACTGTTGTCTGTCTAACAAAGGCAATCAATAAATGCCTAAAAAAACACACTGAGTTTGATGTATATGTGAGGGCAGAAACAGGAAAAGGATCCCACCACTGTATTAATAGCTCCCAATGAATGTAATGAGGCAGCTTTCACAGAGACCCTCATCAGGCACATAATCGTGCTTGATGAGAATCTCTGAGATTGAAACATCGCCTCATTAAATTCATTGGAAGCCATTAATACAGTGTGTGGATCCTTTGTCTGTTTCTGACCTCAGTTCAGGCGTCTGGTCTGGTGCACGACGTAAATGTTTTTGTATGTGTATGAAGTGATCTGCTTCAGAGACACACAGCTCAGAGCCACACATGAGGGCAGACTGACCTTGCTGCAACAACGCTTAAATCCTTCAAGGTGGCAATGCTAAAATATCCATGGTGACAGGACTGGGTTTCCAGGTAAAATATGTAATATATTAAATGATGAGGACCTATGGGAAAGGCTGAGTTTTCATTGCAACCCAATGGGAGTACAGTACATGTGCACAACTTTAATGTCTGGCTGCTCACTGCATCTATTCTTGATCAAGCAGTTACCGTTATAGGATCGTGTGGAGTTGCTATGGAAACTTAGGCACTATGCTTATTATCTCAAACTACACCAACAGAACCCAAAGACCAGAGCACAACTCTGTGTAATCATGGGAATGTGGTGCGGAGGCAAAAACATGACTAATCCAGACCAAAGAAGAGCCATGAAAAGACTGTAGGGTGAGTAAATAATTGGCATTGGGGTAGTAAATATAGTGCTGGTGGGCTTTAAATGCCCACACACAGACCACAGCGTTCAGAGACCTTAATGTCATTTCAGAGATAAATAGCTGCAGCCCTCAGAAGTGCTCTCCAGAGTGGAGCAATTACAGCAAACTGGCATGTCCCAAACTCTGACTAATACAAATACTGACTAAAAGAGATAAATAAAGATCTTATGCCGAATGTGTATTGTGTGGTCACAGTTGTCACAGATATGTAGGCATTATTCTATTCCCTATCTATTCTATCAGTTCATATAATAAATACAATGCAGCCCTTGAAATCATGAATATCTGAACTGCCACTGAAGACAGTTTTAATGTCTTGACATGTTGTCCCTTTAATCTTACTAGTGTGGTTGACCTCCCGGGTGTTAAGGTAATCCAGGAAGGGCACCACCAGGCCCTGGCCCAGGTAGATCTTCACCAGGGTCATTGCCACATCTTGACGGCTCTCAACAGTGGTCACCTCCTCCAGCATGGTCAGAGCGCTGCTATCCTCCACCTGGTTAGAGAGGACGGCTCAGGTTATGGGCAGAGCATCTGTGTCACTTGGATGTCAACACAGGATAAATGAGTCAAGATCTCTGTGAATTAGGTCAAAACACTACATATATACAGCAGTCTCCTGACAAAGAGCAGCATTCATCATACAGTTGAGCACATGAATATCAGTGCTCAGGAGGAGTGGTGAAGCTGACCTCTATAGGGGAGATGACCGACTCAACCAGAAGGTCAATGAGAGGCTGATAGTACACAGATGGCAGGATCCGATCCTCCACCAAACGCACCTTCAGACGCAGCGCTCCCAGCTTGCCACTGGAAAGCGAAGGAAAATAGAGTCTGAGAAAGAGGAGTTTTCCTGCACACTTTGATCTTATGCTGAGGTATGCCTCCATTAAAGATCTCCTGGTAGAGAAGGAAAAAGTGTCTGACAGCTCCCAGCACCAATTTTAAATAGTAAATTCTTAAAAAATAGAAGTTTTATGGCTTTTTTGAATGGACTGCTCCTGAATTTGTTTTTCTGTACGTGAAGATAACCAATCACTTGATTTTCCATGGCTCTGTCTACAAACTGCAATATAATTTGCCATGTTTTTGTGTGTGTGAAATCCAGAGGACATTGTAAATAAAAAGGCTGAAACCTTATTAATGATTAAAGTGTAAGTGAAACTCTTTTAAATGATCTTGTAACATGTCTATGTTATTGCAAGGTGAAACACTGATAATATCAGATAAAAGGGTCATTTGGCAAATGTCAGATTTGATATTATACCAGACTTTTATTAATGTGGGAATAACATCTCTAAACACATGTTAAGGAGTCCACATGATTTTAAAAAAACATTAAAAAAAAAACATCAGTTGAATCAAATTGTCCCAGAGGGAATATCTTTTGCTATTACGTCTCTTTTTTGTGAAAGTAGGTCTCTACCTACCACTTTCTACACAGAAGTGTGCAGTCCTAAATACAAAAAGGCTTTAACTGTGAGTCATTTCCTAATGAACCTCTGGGATTTGCTTCACTTTGACGCTATCCTTTCGCAGTTCACTCAGCCCTCTTTGTTCTAAAATTATCTCAAGGAACAGATGCTGTCACAGACCTGGCTATACACCTGCGAGTGTTCATTTAAATGCATGAAAGGGAGCATTGAGGAGAACAAATACTTTCCTTGGAAGCATTTAAAATAAAACACACACAGCGATTGCTACTCAGTTTGAGTCTTGAGAGGTTTCCAAAAACAAAATGCTTGCCTGAGTTATATAAGCACCACAAACTTATCACATTGTACAAATAAGCACACCCATAATCCTCACCCAGCATCCACCTCATTGTTTCCCAAGGGTAGCAAACGAAACCAGCCCTCTAACAGAGGTGTTTTGTGCAAACAAGCAAAAGGGATTTCCACCTGTGGAAAGAAAATCGCAAACAAGGATACAATATCATGTAAGAACAATAACTTGGAATCTCATGGTGGGTGATACTGTGTTCACAGACAAAACATTTTTTTTTAAGTAATCCTGTAATGAAATCTATAAATCTAATATGTAATATTATATTCATGGCATCCTCACCTTTCCCAGAAAGTCATTCTTTCCCACCATGTCCCAGTCCCAGACCTCCACAGTGACAGTTCCTTCCTCACTCAGCTCCTCTGGATCAAAGTCCAGCTCCAGAGTCTCTCCCCAATGAGGGAAACGAGTTTTCTTGATAATCTAAGACGCAGCATTTGGGATGATAAGAAATCCACAATACACTTCTTGTCACCTCAGCTCACACATAAATATGGTAACATCAAATAAAATGACAGACGGCTCCATTGAAACCAATACATACTGTACATGCAATGCACAGAGAGCTCACCGAGGTCTCTGCACTGTGGTTGTTGAAAATAACTCTTGCAAATGGATCAGAGGTGCCAGAGATGTCTCTTGGAGCCAAGTCTCTGTGGGCATCACCAGACCAAAAGACAAAACAACTGATCAATACTTTAAAACACTCAACAAATTCTGCAAATCAAATTAGTCGGTGAGGTGCCGCAAAGAAAAACAACCAAACCACCACTTTCCATTTGACCTTATTCTTTCAAAGTTAATTCACATTCATGGGAGCATGCCATGTCAAGCCCTGATTGACAGGCTCATTAGTGCCCTGCCTGAGAGGGAGAGATTGTAGCCTGGGCCGCACAGATGGGACAGTGAGTGGTGTGATAGTGGCAGTATGACTCAGGACGGGAGTGTGGAGGCCTGCGGGGTGATGGTAATAACATTTCAGCTCAGAAATAATGATGGCACTGCCAGGTCTAAGCTGCAGAAACTTAACTTTAATCACCACTTTAATCATCTTAAATTTGCATATAAAGTATATAGTTTCCTCACATGCAACTACTGTAGATGTACACATGCTTTTATAGTCTATCTAACCTCCTGGTGAAAAGCCTGCTGCTCTAATGTTGAGGTCATCACTGTCCTTTGTTATCTCTAAATGACATTTTCTCCGCAGTGGCTAGATTTAAAGCTCCCAATTATTCTACCTGGCTTCAATGACTTGACATCGCAGACTGATCTTCTCTGTATCTTTCAGCAGCTCCAGACTCAGATGGATCTCCCCCTGGACTTCTTCATCAGGGTTGACCCTTGTCAGGTTCAGCCAACTGTCTAACCCTGACCGTACCACACGGAGAGATTTTATTAATCAAAACAACAATCTTCAATTCTAGTGCACTAAATGTTAAGAAACAGGCACAGAAACTAGGGATGAAAATCATATTTTTCAACTAATTGTTTTCTGTCAATCGGGAAATTGATGAATGAACTATTCATTTCTGCCATAATGTCGAAGTAACATTGTTCTAAACTTAATAAAGACAGTTAAAGTAAAACCTAGATATGTCCTATGGCAGGAATTCGTTAGAGCTGAAACAATCAGTCGATTAAATAGTCTATTAGTCTATTGACAAAAAATAATCTGCAACAATTCTGATTCACTGTTTTACATTATTTTTCAAACAAAAAAATGCAAAATATTCCTTTGTCCAAGGTTTGAGGATTTTCATCTTTTCTCTTTATTCAATAGTAAACTGAATATTTTTAGGATTCAGAGTTTTGATGGACATCACACTGAGCTTTAAGAAATTCTGCTGGCCATTCTTTTACTACATTCTCACATTTCATGGTCCAATCAAATAATAAAGGACCACAATTATGCATTTGAGTAAGTTCACATTTTAAAATAGCAGATTTTGTGCAAAAAATGTCTATAATGCTAACAATTACATGACAAGGTGAAGAAATGCACAGTCAAAAAAAACTACAATATTGTTTTGATAGTCTAAACAATCTGTAAATTATGTGATATCGTTTACATGTCACGTTTCGATGTGCTCTGTTTTCATCATTTTCAGAAAAATCAGACATAAGCGAGGGCACGATGTCAAGGGCAGACTGTGAGAAGATTCCTGCGAGGGAGTAACTGACTCAGTACCACCGCATGAATCACTCGAAGCCATGCCAGGTGGCTTTCAAGAGAGGCATCATTATGCAGCAAACATACCCTGATAAACGCTTTGAGCAATTTAATAAAACTACAGCAGCATCAAGCAATACCATATTTTAAATGTCCTCTGTCTGGCCGAGACAGCGGAGCAAGTGCCTGAGTTCATGCCGAGGTAAACAATGTGTCTAATTTCTTGAATGTGAAGGCGTCAGTAAGAGAGCCAGACATTAAACGGTTTGTGGCCGTTTGAAATGCTTTGGTTGTTCTCCTCATTTTACAGCGCTGTGGGTTTCCACACAAACAGATGGTTTATCACGCACAATGAAAAATACCAGAGTTTATGCTGACAAGCGCCAGGAGCGTCAACATAATAACACATTTATCGGTGTGAATGCTGATTTCACTGCCGCTGAGTTAGAGTTTACACAACTGAAACAGATTCCAAGTGACTGATAAATGTTCAAATGTGTGCAAATCTCAGTAAATGTGTGAGAGTTCTCTAAGAACCGTTCCCAGAGTTTCTGTCTAAAAAAAAAAAAAAAAGCATGCCTTAGACTTAGGCCTTTGACTCGGTCATGGGAATCCATGTAAGTTTAACCTCTGAGCTCCGGTCATTCACCCATCCTGACACAGACTGACGCAGATCTGTTCAGTCATACCTTTAGCTTGAGATCCAATGGCTTCTTTGCTCAGAGTAATCTTTCCAATAACATCATCGTGCCTGCAGAAGAAGATAAAAGAAGAGATTGTCAGACAGAAGCTATTGAAGACACTATCACAGTTGTTTGATCTTGTTGGAGTAAAACAGGGGGTGAATTTGAAGACACACTGATTAGAAAACTGGTGGTCACGAGAAGAGGAGAAAAAAACAAAAAAAAACAACCTTTAATCACTCAATCTGAGCGACCATCTGTCTGATGATGTTTGTTTATTCAAAGCTTGGTTAGGTTTTAACCCAAATATATCAATTCATGAACCAAGTTAAGCAAACACCGATGGCTTGGAGGACCATAAATCTACTGCCAAGCTCCTTCAGTAAAGAGCAATGGTTGAATGTGGACTCATTTTGGAACAGCTTTGAATGACAGTGTTACCCAATGGTGTCCTCATCCATGACATGAAAGGAGAGTGAATGGAAACCCGTGGGGAGGTGCAGTGTATACTCTTCACCCCAGAAAGGATTGAGGTTCTTCCACACTGTGGCAGTCCTGAAAAGAGAGGTTTTACATGTTAGCTTTAACCAGACCTTGCACATCACATGAACGTATGCAATAGCAACCAGTACATTAATAGCATGAGTCAGGAACCACTGCTAAAGCGGCAGCAGTATAAGCCCTCACTTACCCGCATCTTAAGTGTACCTGAGGGTACACAGATCATGTGCTTTGCAACTAATGCGTAAAAGCTACTGGGGTTCACAATCTCTGCAAGCGATTGCAAGATAAATTGATTAATGGAATAGGAAAGAATAAAAAAAACAGGGCTGCTACACAAAATAATATTCATTTTTCTGACTTCTATCTAAATTTTGCTTTTTTTGTGATATACTGGATTCATTCCCTTGCCTTGGCTGTTAAAATTATGCAAATGAAACATTCTGCAAAATTCCTCTCTGATGGATCTGCTCGCAACTTACTTACATATGCAATGGTGTAAACATGCATTGCTTCATTTTCAGGGATCATACTTGGTAAAAATGTTAGGAATCACTGCTCTACACCATCAAGTTAAAATGTCCTGCTTAAAAACTTTAGGCTCCTGGTAGGATTCAGTATATTTTCTGGATATTTCATTTTGTACAGGATAAGGATTATAATTTAAGGATTTTAAGGAGGATCTTTAAGATTTAAGGATTTTATACAAAAACTATTTTACATTCCTTCGAGTAAAGTATTGAAAAAGCAATGCTGTCAGTGCCAGTCATACTGTATATCGTATTGTCAATAGTAACAAAAGCTTTCAGGATACCCTACCCTAGAGATAATTTTAGATCTCTGTATGGTTTTGAGTTTCTAATAGTGTAGTGTGCCCATTATTTCCCACCACAATCTACCAGCTACATCATCCATGAACATCACACTCCAGGAGTCAGTTGGCCAGTAAAACTACAAGTACAAGATAATTAGCATGAGTGTCTGCAGTGAATCATTGTGCCATTTTCCCTCAACATGCCAGATGGAACAATAGCCACTGAGTTCGCCCCATGTTCTTGTTAGAGACAACAACAAACATTTCTTTTAAAGCTCCCTGGGTTGCTGTCAAAGAGCACCACTTGGAGACAATGTACTGTGTTGTATAGTATAGATGCTGTTGAAAATAAGCACATTTTCTTTGAATTCTTTGGAGGATGAAATCATCTGTACTTTAGCACTCATATGGAGAACACCTCTGAACTGTTCTGCTCCCAGCTCTCAGCATTCTCCTTGCTTACACCGGGAGCCCCCTGCAATAATTGATGCGCCCTCTCCATGGTTACCTGCGGGTGTTTTAAAGGCCAGACCAGTATCAGGTTCTCAATGTTGGAGGGGCCACGCTGTGGGCACCACCGCCCTGATCACACACACTTCACCCCGGTTTACATGTGCATAGTAGCGGGAGCACAGCCAGAAAACGAAATTAATGCAAATATTTAAACTGTGATGAAGAATATTCAATATCCTCCAGCTGTAGCTCTACATTAACCAAGACATTTTTTCATGAACATATTATGCACATCTTCATTTATAATTGGAGGGGACTCACCTGGCCACAACTTCATTGTCAACTTTTACAATGCAGTATGGATCACTGGTTCCGGAGCTTCAGATGACAAGAAAAATAAATGTCAGCATGAGACATATTAGGACAAGCAATTTGTCTGATGGTAAACTTCATCTAATTTTCAACTGTCTGTATTTAAATATGCTGAGTTAATTTGAGTACATAGCCCTATCTCACACCTGATTCCTTCAACTAATTTACAGTAGACCGTTTCAAATGTAGGCTGAACTTTTTACTTATCTAACCAAACTGATAAGTAGCTACTAAACAATGTTGCAGTTGTATATATGCTGCCAGCTGAGACTTGAGCACAGCGGCACATGCCAATCAGGAATTACTTACACGTCTTTGGCCGGGAGGTTCCTGCCCTCGACAATTCGAAAATAAAGAGACGTGTTTTTGGCCATTTTGAGTCGAGTGAGCTATTAATCCAGTTTCTCCTATGTTCCCATACGCGCTCTTATAAATAGTGCTCTTCCCCTCCGTAACTGAGTTTTCTTCATTTCATGGCACCTTCAGCGCGTGACGGCGCGCAGCTCACCAGTAGCGCGCGACACAGGCGCGCATCCAGCCCAGTTAGCCCAGCAGGTGAAACACTGTGGGCCACGGTGTGGGCAGCTACACTGCGCTCTGGCGTTGTCAGTCTTATTCCAGCTCTTCTTCTTTTAGACGTGTCTCGTGGATGAAGCATCAGACATGTCCATTCTGAAATGCACGCGACATGGCATTAATACATTACATTCAACAGGACTAAAAATCGCTTACATTCATATCTGACATTGCTCACCAATCTATTTGTAACTGACGTTATGCCCTGTGTTATATATACATACATACCCTGTCGTACTAATTTGTACCACCCGTAAATGTATTGTTACACCTGGTCCTCAGGAGCGTCTCTTCTTTGACACAACGCGCCACCTTGCGAGCATATTGAGCTACTGCATGCACCTTTACAGACAGGCACCTTAGCAGGCAGCTGCTCGGGGTCCTCATTGTAGTGCATGTAAGCTAATAAACAAAACGTTACAACCGCTCAGCTTAAAAACAGCACGTTTTTCCTACAACTTGTTTTTGTCACTTTAACCGTTAACTGACGGACATCGTTAGATGCAGGCTAGTCTCCAAAAGATAACACATTGTCTTCTCTCTGGGAACTGTTTACTATAAAAACAGTGAAGTTAGCCTAAACTGCTAGCTAGCCGAGTGTGTTGACTAGCAGCGTCCTGTTGTTGTTCTCGTCTTTCCAGTTAAGGAGATGGATGGTTATCCCGGAGTCATTGGCGGTGATTCTACAAAACAACAAGAAAGGCATTACTACCTGTTGTCTGAACTGCAAACATTAGTCAAAGACTTACCAAGGTAATGTTGCCTTACCTTCAGGGAGGACTTCCTTCACAGAATTCAGACAAATGATTATAGCAGTGAATGTCTCAGGTTTAGCTGTATGGACGATTTATTGACTACATCTTAATGATTACTGTTGTTTTTCTCCACGGTTAGCTCCTTCCAGCAGCGCCTATCCTACAACACGCTGAGTGACCTGGCTCAAGCACTCATAGATGGGACCGTTTATGAGATTGTGCAGGGGCTCCTGGATATTCAGCATCTGACAGAGAAAAATCTGTACAACCAGAGGCAAAAGCTGCACTGTGAACACCAAGGTCAGTGCTGTGCTTAACAGAAAACATGCAGTGACTAATGGTCATGCTTGCTTGACTGGTTATTTTTCTGTGTGTGTGTTTGTAGCACTCAAGCAAGATCTTGCACGAAAACACAAAGACGCTCTGCAGTCATGCAAGTCCCACAATCTTGCACTTCTTAAATCAAACCAACAAACAGAACTAGAGGTAAGAGAATTACCTCTGATCACTTAAAGGGCTGTTGTTATTGCCATATGCGTTTTTATTTCTTAATAGTTGTGTGTTGTGCCATCAGGCTCTGGACATTCGTGTGCGAGAAGAACAAAGAATGATGGATAAGAAGATTGTAGCGGAAATGGATCAAAAAGTGATAGACCAGCAGAACACCCTAGAGAAGGCGGGAGTCCCGGGGTTTTACATCACCACTAATCCTCAGGTTGACCTCTATACCTGTTCACTTACTGTATTGAAAGAGCCCAGCAAGACCACAAATAGTAGGATAGCATAGCAAACATACACTGTGTGATGCAGACAAATGTCCAGCAGGTGGCAATGTAAGTCCTCACTGCTCTTCAACCACTTTGTGTTTCAGGAGCTGACAATGCAGATGAACCTACTTGAATTGATCCTCAAGCTTCAGCAGAAGGAGTCACAATCTGGACTACTATGAGAAAGATGATACGGAAGCTCCATCGTGCCAAAAGAAACAGACGGTGTACGCTCATGATCCAGTGACTGTGAGATTCACCGTGCTTCAGTCGACATGTAACATTGTTGTGTAAGAAGCAACAAGTTGAGAAAAAGTTGAACATGTGTTGTCCCGAGTCTAATTGGCATCACCATCATAAACCTGTAATACAAGGCTGGTTCTAATGTATACAAGTAAGTTTCAAGAAGTGAAGGAGAGCAGTAGCAGGTTGTGACATAATAAAGCGCTTAAATGCCATGTCACACATTGTGCAATTAAGTAGTTGTTTTGTTGCAAATCCTTTGAAGACACGTTGAAGGACTTCTTAAGGACACAAAGAAATGAACAGATGGCTGTAACTGGAGGTAATGCTGTGACCGTTCTGCACTGAGATGTTCTCTTCGCAAGTGCCTCTTGATACTTTTGGAGCAGTTGGCGACATTTGAGGTGAAAAGGAAAGTTTTATCCTTTGTGTGTGCACAAAGACCCAACTCTGAGCAGCAGTAGTGTATAAAGCTGAATTCTGTAACTTTCCACATGTCATTGCTTTCTGCAATGGTGAAAGTGTCTTGGGAGGTTGTGTGTGAACCTGCTGTTTATTTAAAGCAGCCACTGGACACTTAAAAAATGGACCAGCTCCTACTTGCCCCACCTCAGGATGTTGATCTCAAATGTGTAAAACAGAAACAAGGTGTGAAATGTGTCAGTTGTGTTCTGGCTCTGAACAGACTTTATTCGTGGTTAGGTGTTGAGCTAACCTCAGTGCGTTTACATTGATATTTTTTAAATGTAAATGTTGGTTAATGTTAACTGTTTAACATAAAAAAAACAATTCAGTAAATACCAATAAGCAATTCATTACTGCTTTGATATACAGTGTGAACAAAATCTGATATGGACAGTAGCATTAAATATTTTGATGTGATTTTCCATTACACAAATATCTGCCTTCATAAAACAAATGTTATTAAATGTTTCTCAAAGCATCATTGTGTTTTGTAAATAATTTGAAAAATTTAGTTCTGCAGACACTGATGTAAATATTTTTCACCACTATAATTTGTGTAGTCCTTTGTTCCAAATTATTTCACTTTACTGGGATGCAGCTAGAGTGGCAACACATTTCTGGTTTTTAAAGACCACTTTCAAAGTTAGGCTTATTGAGTGTCACACTGAGACAGATATGATGATATATGTGTGTTAATTTTATCCCACTCTGACTAATTTCCCTATTATATACGTCCTTAAGTCATACACACACCTACTGTTAGTGGTCCAGATTGTTACAAGCCCTCTGACCAGGTCCAACAGCAGGTCTCATATCACATCCATCTTTTTTTACACCGACTACTTACCAAATGCAAGATTTTTATGATTACATGTAAAGGCCCCAAGGTCACAAGATTGTGATTTACTGCACCTCTATTCCCAATATGGTGTCTTGGGTCTCCTAGCATGGTTTTAATGGCCATCCCTTGATACAAAAACTAAAGGTGATCAAGCATGCTTGCCTCTCACATCTTTCAGGGTTGGCACTTGAACCAATTCTGTGTTGCATTCGTACTGCTCGATTTTCTATGACATCCATTTGTCATTTAAACTGTTTAAATATACAGCAAATTGTTTTTGGTTTTTTTTGTTTTTTTCTTACTTTAGCTTCATGCTTGTCTTACATACTTATGATTCTCAAACACGTTCACATTTATATTCATGTAGTCAGGGCGCAGGGACCCCCTCTGAGACCACCGACTCCGGATAATCTCCTATTCTGCTGTAATATGGGTGGGGCGCAGTGGGGAAGCCCTTTCAGCTGAGTATAAAGGTGACTGCGCCTTTAAGAAGCAGTCCTGGCAGCGCATGATAGTTTTATTCCTCGGCGCACCTTCTGCTCCATCACTAGACGATGCACCCCGGTAACTTCTAACAGCACCGGACCTGCCGCACACATGAGACACCCTGGACTACTAAGGTAACGCGATCATTTGATTTCTCGTGTTATTATTGACGTTTCTCCTCCAGTGGATGCAGAGCGGATCATGTTAAATCATCACACATCCCCCACGATCGAAAAGTGCGATGTCGCTCTCCAGTCGGCTCCATCCAGGAGAGAGGAAGTGTAATGCACTAACGGGCTCCACTTTGCGTCCGTTTCCATGTTGTTATAAAATATTAATTTGGCTTTAAAACGACGCTTATTCCGCTCTTCTTCTGTTGTGTGCACGGTCCGTCATGTGGTAACGGATAGGTATACTTAAGATAGATATAACAGTGTAAACGAGTCGCCTATTTTATGGCTCTGGGTTTATTTCTAGAGGGGAATAAGGCGTTACGTAATTATAACAGAGGCATCCTGTTGTCGCCATATGCCTATCGAGGGCAGGAATCAGATGTTGCACCGCCCGGACCAGGAGGATGGATACTAGGTGTTCCTGATGAAAAGACCACACACATTGTTTTACAGTTAAACAAACAAAATAAATCTTAATCTGCATCGCATCTTCTAACGTTAGTGCATTTCCAGCTTTATTTACACATCAGCGATGCCTTTTAGATGACGTGGTCTGGCTTCACACTGAGTGATGAGTGTCCATCGGTGCCACACGTTAAGGCCTCATTGCAAAATCTCGATAAAACATATATTTACAGGTGGGAACAGCCAAATAGATCACATCACAAATTGACCCGTGGGACCTCCTTACAAAGTTAAATGTTACTGCTGTGTTTCTGTTACAAAGAGCAGCATTTGGGTCTACTGTAAGAATTCAGGAGATCCTATTTAACTGACTTACTATTTCCTTTATGTCCATGACTATCACTAAAGCTTAACAAAATGTGCATTTATTTCTTTGTGCTATAAGAATGAAAATATTTCAAACTACTACTAATATACTGAGCATTTTCATGCTGTCATTGTTGTCATTACACAATTATTTATTCATAGTATTCTTAAATATGGAGGCCAAGCTTGGAAGATAATTCTTTGTGCAGAGTGACTAGTACAGATTGGTTCTTCACATTACACTACAGTAGCCTATATGTCCACCAACAGCTCTAAATAATTTTTTTTGAGCCAAACACCAGACCCCAACTTCAGACTTACAACAATATGTCAAACTATACAGCCAAATTATGAACACACAGTATAATGCATTAAGTTTAACCATCATCCTGTGGCTCTGTCCTGAATGTGCACACACAGTACACTCAGTATGGAGGTTAAACAAGTCTGGCTGCGGGAGCTTTTCCTGTTCTGACACTTGTGTCAACACCATGCTTGTTCTCTGTCTCTTGCAGGTCATCTTCATAGACAGGTAATGGATCCAGTGTGACTGCTACAACACCATCCTGCCCAGCTGGCCTGTATAACTCTGTAGCTATGGCAACTTGTCCAAGAGGCTGCGCACCAGCGGTGCGCCTTTGTCAGAGACTGAATCGACTCAAGACACTGGATGATGACATGATGGCCACGTCGCTGAAACGCTGCCTCTCCACCCTGGACCTGACTATGTTGGGTGTTGGTGGCATGGTGGGCTCTGGGCTTTATGTCCTGACAGGAACAGTGGCTAAAGACATGGTTGGGCCTGCTGTCATCATATCCTTCCTTTTTGCAGGTTTTGCTTCTCTATTGGCTGCCTTTTGTTATGCAGAGTTTGGAGCACGCATTCCCAAAACAGGATCTGCCTACATGTTTACCTACGTGTCTGTGGGAGAGGTCTGGGCTTTTCTCATTGGTTGGAATGTGATTCTGGAGAACATGATCGGTGGCGCTGCTGTGGCACGTGCCTGGAGTGGCTATCTGGACTCCATTTTTAACCATGCTATCCAGAACTTCACAGAGACACACATTATGCAGTGGGACGTGCCCTTTCTTGCCCATTATCCTGACGTACTTGCAGCAGGGATTCTAGTAGTTGCCTCGTTCTTCATTTCCTTTGGAGTTCAAGTGTCCTCTTACCTCAACCACATCTTCTCCACCATTAGTATGGGTGTCATCGTCTTCATACTGGTGTTTGGCTTTGTGCTGGCTGAACCAGCCAATTGGAGCCAGAAAGAAGGAGGCTTCGCACCTTTCGGGTTGTCTGGAATACTGGCAGGCTCGGCCACGTGCTTCTACGCGTTTGTGGGCTTTGATGTAATCGCATCCTCAAGTGAGGAGGCAAAGAATCCGCAGAAAGCTGTTCCCATTGCCACCGCGATCTCTCTTGGACTGGCAGCAACAGCTTACATCCTGGTCTCCACAGTGCTCACACTAATGGTACCCTGGCATACACTGGACCCCAACTCAGCTCTGGCAGATGCTTTCTTCCGCCGTGGTTACAGTTGGGCTGGAGTGGTTGTGGCAGTAGGTTCTATCTGTGGTGAGTGTCAACCTTAAATTGAGAAATACAGCTGTTTGTGCATTATGTTTAGCAGTAGCATTGTCTGCACATTGCTATTTCTTGTGTTACCTTCTGATAATGAGTCTCTGTCTCTCTCATTTCCAGCCATGAACACTGTGCTGCTCTGTAATCTCTTCTCCCTCCCTCGGATTGTTTACGCCATGGCAGAGGATGGATTGTTCTTCTCCTTTTTTGCACGCGTCAATCCCGTCACCAAAGTCCCTGTCAATGCTATATTGGTGTTTGGAATCCTCATGGCCACCATGGCTCTCATCTTCGACCTGGAGGCCTTGGTTCAGTTCTTGTCCATCGGCACACTCCTGGCGTACACCTTCGTGGCAGCGAGTGTTATTGTGCTGCGCTTCCAGCCTGAGAAAACCAGCTCCAAGGGAACCGCTTCCACATCTCCCAACCCCAACGCTGAGCCTTCCCCTGCCCCCTCAGAGTCTCAGACCATAACTGAGGACAGCGGGGAGCTGAAGCAGTACGAGTCCTTCTCTGACAAACTCCAGCTGGTGGAGAGGCAGAAGACAAGAGAACGGCGTGGGGTGGGGCAGTTGAAGGCTTACTGGGAACCGTACCTGGGCAAGCTGCTGGGGGACTGTGAGCCGGGCGAGGTGGTGGCCTTCTGTGTGCTGACTCTGATAGTGAGTTCAGTGTCCCTCTGTGCCGTGCTGGAATTTGGTACCAAACAGCTGCAGCTGCCGCTGTGGAGCTTCACCATGCTGCTGGTGATTTTTAGCTTAGCTTACGTCCTCAGCCTGGCGCTCATATGTGTTCATGAGCCGCAGACCGACAGCAAAACATTCCAGGTGAGCTCCTTTATGGGTTTTACTTTATTATACAAGTCTAGGTGTAATATGTTAATTGAACGCTGCTGTCTTTCACTTGGAGCTTCAGATGAACTTGAATTTGCTCATCCTGGCAGCTACATACACTTCAATTATGCTCAAATAAACAAATCTCATTTCAATTTTATTTTCATTTTCATTTTAAGCCATTTGTATGATTGGACTATGACTGGAGTTTTATTGTTGTATAGGTACCTTTGGTTCCATTGACTCCAGGTGCCAGTATCCTCATTAATGTATTCCTCATGATGAAGCTCAGCCCTCTAACCTGGATTCGATTCACCGTGTGGATCGCCATAGGTAAGAAGGCGCTGGATTTAGGTAGAAAACAGCTTCCCAGCTTTTCTATAGTATGTGAAATATATTCCTTAAAAACAGACACATTTGTAGCTCAACAAAGCTACTAAAATGGATTTGTTTCAGTAAGCATCAGGTACAGCCTCTTCTCTACACAAACACAGGCCCTTGATATTATTAGGGTCATTTTGGTTACTTGAAGGCAGTCGAATCCACACATCACATGAAATGAATGTTATCTCAGTAAGTAGTTTGAATACACCATCATAAAACACCTGCCTCGTGTTGCTAGTGAAGGTAATGTACATCAGTGTTACGTCATCAGATGAAACAAACACCTTAAGTCCTTTAAGGAAACAAAAACTTTTCCCTCTGATGATGGTGGTCAAACAGTTTTAAAGCCCTGTCAGAGAAGGGGGGGGGGGGTCATAGGGGAGTTGTGATTAGCTGCATTAGCTTAAGGCTTCTCTGAACCAGTAAACCATTTAAACCCCACTGTCAGGCTGCAGCAAGTTAACAAGATGCACAGTCGTGGAATATTACACTTGACAGGCTGGGCGCTCTCGACTACTTACCCTCCATAATGGCCACTGCAGAAAAAAAAGCATGGGAGTTCTTCATTCGAATCAGAGTAAAGGCAGAGTTAAAGCCAAGTAATGAATATTACACCAGCGTAGCATGGCTGTAAACTGGTCTTGTTGTCTGAGATCTCAAAAATTTGAAAATGGTAACATCAATCTATTAGAAGAGCATGTTTATGGGTTTTTATTACACTAATACATTTATTTTGCTGAATGAAAGATGTTTCCTGCACTAAGAGTTACACAAAACAAGACTCACTTGGAGACACATTTCTCTCTACTCTACTGTGAACAGTGTGTCCTGATTTTACTTCTGAGTCATTTCAGTCACATGTGTGCCGTGCCGTCCCTTTTCTTTTCAGGTCTCTTTGTGTATTTCGGATATGGGATCTGGCACAGTAAGGAGGGCATGCGGGAGCTGCAGCCCAAAGACATGGCCGCCCGGTACGTGGTGCTACCCAGCGGCAGCCTGGTAGAAACAGTGCAGTCTGTCCAGCCCGAAGGTCAAGTGGACACCCCGGCGCACCACATCAACGCCTCCACCGCCTCGACAGCCGAGGAGTACGAAGGAAAGAGATGATGTGTGACCAAACGCGGCCACCATTACAACCGGCTGGTTTCATCTGTTGTCTCCCACTCATAACGCTGTACTATTACTAGTGTACTCTCCGTATCTCACTCCTTTTAGTGTGTGACTGGCCTGCCACAGTCTGTACTCGTTGCTCTGCAAATGTAAGCACACCACAGGATGGGATGCACGCTCTCTGTCTCGTCGTGAAGCATATTTGTATATCTTGTAATACTCGAATGTACAGTAGAGAGCTTTATTACTGTCCTGTAAATTTCTTGCATCAAAGTTGGGTTATATATCCTTTAAGACCAGCTCTTTTCTTGCAAACTTGCCAGTTTGTCAGAATCCACATGCTTATATCCGGTGCTTTCTTTGTGACAAACTGTACTTTTAGTTTGTATATTCAGCGAATAATCATTTTAACACAAACCTGGAGCTGGAAAATCACCATTCACCAAAAATATAATTCTGTTGTTAACAAGGTAAAAGACAACCCACTGCATGATATCATCTTGAGTATGGCAAGCATCCATTTGTTGCATGTTTTTTTTAGTTAAACAGACGAATGCACAGACTTTTGTGAGTTTACATTTTCACTTTTTTACTTCTCCGCTGCCTCAGGAGAAACTGCAGGCTCTTTTAATGTGGATCCACTTATACCTAGACTGCCCTACTTATAGTTTCTACTGTCAAGTTATTTAATCCAATATGTTAATATATGTATTTATTTTTCTATTGTTACTGTTCTTTTATTTTTTTGTGTTTTTGCTCTTATATGGATCCCATGAGCTTTATTTTTTGTGTTTCCTGTTCCTGTTCTTGTGTTTGTGTTATATGAATAAGCACTACGTTTTATATACTTTTAGTATAGGATTAGTCTTCATAAGTCATTTGTGTTCAGCTTTTAGTTGGCTGAGCAACACTTCAGTGCTTCACGTAATCTAAATCTCATCCCGTGACCCTGTTCTCTCTTGTGTCACTGATCTTACACTTGTGCAGGTTTTTTCTCACGCACCTTTAGGAACCAAAACTTTCTCCTCTCTCTCTCTCTCTCTCTCTCTCGCTCTCTCTCTCTCTCTCTCTCTCTCTCTCTCTCTCTCTCTCTCTCTCTCTCTGTTGTCATGAGATTATGAGATGTCAAAGCACATGGATTATTGAGGTTTTATGATATCGTTTTATTTTATTGTCATGTGACTGATTTCCTGAGATAACCTGAGAGATAATTAGATTATTGGATATATAAGTCAAGCACAAACCTACTGATTGACTGGACTCTTCACACACAGGGTAAAATATGGGCAGGCAGGCAGACGTTGATGGGCCTCCGTAATCCCAGCAGATTTGGAGCAGTCCCTGTCGCCAGTCTGCAGCTTGACCTAGATCAGAGAAAGGCACACATGTGAGAACAGCTCATATTATACAGATAACATTCCCACAGCAGCATCCACAGTGACAAAAAATGAACACAAGGATTTTTTTTTTTTTATCACAAATATACATTTTTATTCTGTTTCTCACTTTTTTCATTTCAGTTTGTATTTGCATGTGTTACATAAGAAACCAATGGCCTTAAACATGTTGTAATCAATGCAGACTGACTTCCAAAGCTAAAGTAGTCTGAATGGTTTAGTTGTTTAATTTATGTGTCTGTTAGATAAAAACTCTTATACAGGACGTCATGCTTTCTAATTATGAAACCAAAACACAAACACAGAGGAGAATGTACCGTAAGAGGCATTTTGGCATAGTTACAGAAAGGAGTAGGGTTCAGGAGAATTTTGTACAACTTTGCACACCATTTGAAAACTATCGTCTGGTAATTTTGTGTCACAGTTACGCTTTTGATGTCAGGGCCAGCGACAGATATAAATACTGTGGTGCTTTTTTTAGGCTGATCGTTCTCTCACCTCTTTCTCTGTCTTTTTTGTGCCAGGAAGCACAGTTACAAACGATCCAGTTCTTTTCTTACTACTGAATAGCATTGTACTTGCACATTAAGGTCTCAGATCTTTCTGTTATTGTGTATGTCTGTATAAAATGCAACAACTGTGGTATTAAATAAAAAATAAATGTTTTGAAGCAGCATTTACAAAAATCTAAATTGTGGAGTAGTCCAACTGAAGTTTCCTTCCTGAGAACCAATCATCTCAAATTTAGGAAACATCAATCATGAAAATAATTTCTAAATTGTTGCGGAAAGTCTTATCCTCACATTAGCTTTGAGTTGGTGTAACACACTTATCTTAATATTCACAAAAAGAAGAAGCAGAAAACTATAACAAAGGACACATAATTTCAACTTGTACACACAGGTAATAAAGGAAGGATATAACACAAGGATAAAACCTCTTAAAGTTAATCTAAATTCATATTTCTCATTGGCATGTGTGGCCTGGTGGAGAGAGCTTAAGATCAACTTTGATTACATGCTTGATGACACAGCTGTATCGTTAACCCAATTAAAGGATTAACGCTCAGGTCACGAACTCTCTGTTAAGTGAATGAAATGATCGAGCAGGTGCTTATTCAGGTGGTGCTGCTGAGAGATCAGAGTGTTGGTGCTAAGATGATTACTATTGTTAATCAGGTGTTTGCAAGTGTTTGACTATAACAGCTCTGACACGAGCACCAGTCTCTCGGACTACACTCGGATTACACGACTGAGCTCACGGCATCTAAAATTACCACTGCAAAACACGCCTCATGATGTGGGGTGCATAAACAGAAACAACTGACAACCATCTACAGTGTGCAGTCTAAGTGATAGATTATATTATGTAAGTGACTGAGCAAAAGTACTGGAGTGATTCAGCAGAGCGTGAATGCTGTGAATCCTGGAGGCACTTGTGTTTCCATGGAAACTCCCACCCCCCAACCTTTTCAGATTACACATCTGTCTCCGTGTCATTGTTTGTGGCGACATTAAAGGTTGTACACACCGCCCATTTACTCAGGAGCATGTGAGTCATCTGCTGTGAAGGCCTCCTATTCAGATACTTTTGTTTGCTGAAGAATATCGTGTATCCAGTAACCTGATATGCAATTGCCATCATACACCTAGTTTTAATAGCACTGAAATAGTCTTCCTTCTATATACATAGATCTCTCATAAGTATACACAATGACAAAATGAAATTTCAAAAACATCAGTGTGTTATAATGTACAATAAGACACCATGTAAAAAATAATCATTTTATTAACCACATTGTTTTTGCCAAAAAATCCTTGCACAAAGCTGCGTTCTCTTCGACTGCAAAACTGTCTAGGTGCATTTGTGCCTTCTGGCTTTCATTTTCTCCTCTGATTCAAGCCTCTGGAGTGAGAGAGGAGAGAAGCACTGCGTGTGTCTGTACAGCTTTTAGCAGCAGTGGAGCGTGGAGTGTTGAGGTTAAGGGTTTGAAGGTGAATTTGCAGGGACGAAGGGGGGGCAGCGGCAGGGGACACGCGATCCTCTGACTCCCGACCACTTTCTCCTCCTCTTGCATCCTTCCCTCTGTTACCGTATCCCAGCCGTGCTGCACTGCTGCTCTGCCTGAGGGACGAGGAGGAATGCAACAATGGAAACACAGTATTATGATTAATCATTTATAAAAATGTGTGCTTAGTGCCGCTTGTGCTAGAATGTAACATTTTAACTAATCTAAAGAATAGAGTGCTAACAGTGGGCTGTTTTGCATTAGTGTCAGGTGATTCTGTTGTTTTTCCACTGGTGTGGTTTGCAGAGAGGGGCTCCATGTCTGCTGAGGCCAGGCTTCCTGTTGATGTAAATGCATAGTTTTAATACAATTTTCAATAATCCCAATAACATCCACAAAATCAACATGTGTAATAGACATCAGTTGACATATTTTCACATTTTACAACATTAAAAATTTCCACACAGCCTACCCTTGCAGTGTTATGTTGTGCTCTTTCCCTCAGTTTCTCAAGGCTGCTGTGTAGGGTGGTATTTTCCTGCTCCAGAACTTTTATACGGATGCAATTTGCCTGCAGTTGTTGCTCCATATCCAAGAGCACATTTCCTGTACCTTGTAAAGATGCAAAGAACAATATGTAAGCATTCAAAGTGACGACAGTACTCAAAAACAACAGGCAGCTGGCAAATAAATGGATGGATACAAGATCCACATTTAACTTTTTCCAAGTACTTTTCCAAAGATAGAATAGTGTAGTGTTTTTATGTACATACATTCTGGTTATGCCAGTCAGTATCTTTTAGAAACAAAGGTTAAATAAGTGCCTACTCTGTGGCTGGGCCTGAGCCAGGGGGCTGAGCTCTGGGAAAGCCACCAACAGCCTCTCCCTCTCCTTTAAAGCTTGCACGTATTCCTTCAGCTCAGCCACACTGTTCTTTAGCTCGCCTATGTTTGTTTCTAGCGTCTGCTTCTCCTTTTGAAGCTCTAAATGCAAGTCCTGTTGGGGGAAAAAAAAACATATAATCATGAGCTACTAGGTTTAAAAGTATTTATTATGTGTATGATTATGGGTAAGGGCTCCGACATTACACCTGCTGTTGAGCGAGCTGAGCCTGCAGTTGTTCCTTCTCCTCTGACATCTGTTGCAGCCCATTGTGTAGCTCGATCTGTCTCTCCTCTCTCTCACCCAGCTCCCTCTGCAACTCTTCACACTCTTCATCAAGAGCATCCACCCTCTCCAACAAAGATTTCTGCTTTGCCTGCATCGACTGGATGCACAACAACAACAAAAAAAGAACCACTAACACGTGCATACATCTGTCTGAATACTGTTATGTGATCCATGAGTGAGACTGACAAGGTCTCCAGCTGAAAACAACAAATAATCCAGTGTTTGTCGTGACACTGACCTCTTGCTGACGACAAGCGCTGTGGTACTTGGCATTCTCCTTGTCAAGAAGGACTTGAGTTTCAGAGATCTGACTCTCTAGTTGCTGGATCCTTTGTTGTAGTTTACAACAGGCCTCTTCCTCCAAGTGCAAGGACTCCACTTTTTCCTGCAGTGCCTTCTTTTCACATTCTACCACAATATACAATGATCCATCATACAGCATACACTTATTACATATTACATACATTTATTTTCTGTGTGTAACCAAGCCAGGTCAATTGCATAGTGTAGTATGATGGTAAATTAAATCTTACATGTCCATACCAAGTGCTTGTAATGTATCTTGCTGCACTGCTACTTTCTCCATCAGACTGGAATTACTCTCCTCCAAGGACAAAGTTTCTGTTTCAAAAATATTAAAAAATATAGTAGTGACTGTGATGTCAGTGATTTACCATCACATTCATTTGTCAGTTTACTGCACCTGTCTTGAGTTGTTGTTGCGCCTCTTGTAGCCTCTGCTCTGTTTCTTTCACAGATCTCTGTGCTTTCCGCAGTGAAAACTCCAGCTGGACTATGGTTGCCTGGTGTTTTTCCATGTCTTGCTTGAACTCTTTCCGTGCTCTTTCCAGCTGAGACCTGAATCTCTCCCGCTCTGCCTCTGCTATTGCTAGTCTATCTTTAAGAGGGTGTACTGTACCGCGCACATCTTGCAAATGCTTTGCCAGCCGTCGCATGTCTCTGAGCTGCTCGTTGGCCCACTGGGTGACATCCCCTGCTGTCATGTGTCCCAGCTCCAGGGTTTCCTCCACAGCAGCTAAGAGTGGCTGCAGAGAGGACGGCAGGCCCTCACTCTGAAACAGTTCTACCAAAGCATCTCCTGTCTTTCTCAAAACCAATTGCACTCGATGACAGGCATCACAGGGAATGAGGGATGATTCAACTGTCTGGCAGCTTACAGTGTGACTGTCAGCTTTAGGATGGCACAGGGTGTTGTGGGTAGGACTGGAGGGTACATGATTCTGTGGCAAAAACTTAAAGGAGCTCGTTGAAGAACATGTAGATAAACAACGTCTGCAACTGTCACTCCTTGAGCTCATTTTAGGATAAACAGATGAAACTGTCTCTATTTCATCACTGTCAAATGTCTTTGGATTTGTCTCTTTCTTGATTCCTTGGAAGGTCCCCTAAAAAGAGGAAGAAATAAATGAGATCAATCCATTCTCTGTTTGCATTTTGGCATTCCTTAATATTTTTTATATTAACTTAAATGAACCTCTTTGGCTACCTTAAAGCTGGTAAATTGAACTAAATTACTCCAGTAGGTTCTGACTACAAGACCAACTGACAGGCACCCTTTCTGCTGGGATTGCTCTCTCCTCTGGCTGCTCCTCAATTGCTCAACATAAGAACTGAAGCTTTGTAGAAGAAGCAGTAGTCTTGTTCAGGGAGAGAGGGAGAAAGGATTAATTAGTATCATCATCACCATCCTCATCCTCATCATCATCATCATCATTATCACCATCACCATCATCATCATCATCATCATCATCATCACCATCATCACCATCATCATCATCACCAACATCATATATTACCTGTCAATCATGAGCTCCAGTAAGACAATATGGGAGTGTTGATTGAATGCATCCTCCCCATCCACAAAGTCATATTGCCCTAGCAGAGCCACCATGTCCAGATTACAGGAGAGTTTATCGGGGAACTTCCAGGAGGGGAAGCGGACTGGTCCGGTTCTAGAAAAGACGTCCAGAATCGCACCTTGAAGGTCGACCAGGTCTTTTCGGAGGCTTTCGATACAGTCCTGACGACCCAAGAGCTCACTCATGTCTGCCAGACTAGCGTTTATTTTGTCTGTCTGACACAGCAATGAGGGTGAATGGGTGTCGCTTGTTGACATCGAATCTCCTTGGAAACCTCCACAAGAAAGTACTGCAAGTTCCATAATGCTTTGCGGCTTGTTTCCGGAAGTAATATACCTCCATTGGGTCAACGACACCGCGACGCAGTAGGTGCTCAACTACAGTAAATTTAGGCTTAAAGATTATAGAGACTGCGTTCTTAAAATTATATCTGGTATAATAAGTGTTTTTTTTAAATACATATATTCTTCTTGCCGGGTGTTTGCAGGTAATTTCCTGCGTTAGAGAAAGACGCAGCCATGCCGCCTGGGCCTGTTCAAATAGTTCAACCGGAGGCCAACAATAAGGTAACAACGCCGCTCCGAGTTAGCTAATGTTAGCAATGTAGCTAACATACTGTTTCTGCGGAAAACTAATGAACAATTAACTTACACTTTCCTTTACTGTGAAATGTCGCTGTGAGTGCGAAGTTTAGAGAAGTTAACATCTATTTTGAATAACCACCATAAGACCTAAATCTTGATAGTTTTGTCGTTAGCTCAACTCACCCAAATAACCAAACACACAAGTTAATGGTGAGATAGCCTTTGAGACTTTAGTCAGTACCTCAACAGAACGGAAGAGCAGCGCAATTTGGTTTGTTTGCAAAAACTACTAAAATCTGACATTTGTACTTACTAAGCAGTGATGTTTCTTTCCAGTGGTTACCAAGGATAATACCTAGACTTACTTGTAAGCAGCTATCTTTCCCGTGTGCCATAAGTATACAATAGTTCCCCTTCACGACTTTTACAGTAGAATCTGAAGATTGTTTTCACAGTAACCAACACCAACAATATTGCTGGTGTTCTTGCTATTGACCCACAAACCGACTCCTTTTCACCTCTAATGTATTGGGATGGTCACAGGATTTTATTCAGAATATTCAGATACAAATGCAGTGATTGGGGTGAGCTGACTTTGAGTGAGCTAAAGCTAATGTGTAGTAGGTCAGAGATAATAGATGAGATTTATTGTTTTTTTTATAACATTGCTATAGTAAAGCCCTGGATGCATTATCATCCAGGGCTTTACTATAGCAATGTTATAAAAAAAAAAAAACAATGCTAATTTGGTTGAATTTTATTCAGTTTAAAGTCCCATAACATAAAATGTGAATTTTGTCAACAGAACGATGGAGCAGTAGAAGAAACCCCAGCCACTAAGCCCATCGTTGGCATCATATATCCACCTCCTGAGGTCCGAAACATAGTTGACAAGACAGCCAGCTTTGTTGCCAGGTTGGTTACTCCACATGTGTTAATTCTATAATCTTATATATAGCTGTAATCTTAACTGGATTTTATGTCTATGATATAACTAAATTCTTGTAATTTCACAGGAATGGGCCTGAGTTTGAAGCAAGAATCCGTCAAAATGAGATCAACAATCCAAAATTTAATTTCCTCAACCCCAACGACCCCTACCATGCCTACTACCGTCACAAGGTCAATGAATTTAAGGAGGGCAAAGCGCAGGAGCCATCTGCAGCGGTGCCTAAGGTTATGCAGCAGGCCATGCAGCAGGCCCAGCAGCTTCCTCAAAAGGTATGATGTATCATTTCAGTCAGCTGTTTCTGTAGTTTTTTCATTGATTATAACTGGTAGTATTTGATCATAATAACTAATATGTTGTGTTTGTCAATAGGTGCAGTCACAGGTGATTCAGGAGACAGTGGTCCCCAAAGAACCACCACCTGAGTTTGAGTTCATTGCAGATCCTCCGTCAATCTCAGCATTTGACCTGGATGTTGTCAAGCTCACTGCCCAGTTTGTTGCTCGCAATGGGCGCCAGTTTCTCACTCAGCTCATGCAGAAAGAACAGAGGAACTACCAGTTTGACTTTCTGCGACCGCAGCACAGCCTTTTCAACTACTTCACCAAACTGGTTGAGCAATACACTAAGGTGACCTAACAAATACCTCCTCTCTGATATTAATGTTATTCTTTTTTTGTGTGGTGCTAAAATCTATCTTCACCTCAACATTTTAGATTCTGATCCCTCCCAAAGGCTTGCTGACCAAGCTGAAGAGAGAGGCGGAGAATCCAAGAGAGGTTATGGACCAGGTAATCTTTTTAATTGTGACTGTTTCTCGGTGTAAGTATTTAATAGCATGTTGCCCATGTTAATCAGCGGTCCCACTGCTCAACCATCAGGTGAGGTACCGTGTTGAGTGGGCAAAGTTCCAGGAGCGTGAGAGAAAGAAAGAGGAGGAAGAAAGAGAGAAAGAACGAGTGGCATATGCCCAAATCGACTGGCATGACTTTGTAGTGGTTGAGACGGTGGATTTCCAGCCCAACGAACAAGGTAATATTACCACAATAGTTATCATCTTAAAACCTGCAAGCCCTGAAATGTAGATAGAAAAATTTATCTTTATTTGTAACTCTGTTTCCCTAGGACACTTCCCGCCACCCACCACACCAGAGGAGCTTGGCGCTCGCATCCTGATCCAAGAGCGCTATGAGAAGTATGGAGAAAGTGAGGAGGTAGAGATGGAGGTTGAGAGTGAGGATGAAGAGGATGGTCGGGAGGATCGGGACGAGGGCCATCCCTCACAACCTGATCAAGACACACAAGTGCAGGACATGGATGAGGTAAGAACGGATAAAGGAATTCATCTCTACACCAATTTTAGATTGAATTATTTGTATACTTTTAATTCGTAGGGACATTATTATTATTTTAATTGCCATTTAACTAAATTTCCAACCAATGTTTGCTGACGTTCTGCTGGAAAATGAATAAAAACAATAACTGCTGGTAAAAACATATCATTCTTTACCTCCTGATTTCTTCAGGGATCTGATGACGATGATGACCATATGAAGGCTCCACTCCCACCAGACAACCCTATGCCACCCCCACTGCCCCCTACTCCAGACCAGGTTATTATTCGCAAAGACTACGACCCCAAAGGTAACTCATGCTTCCTTAAGGAAGGTAACCTTCTGCATAACAAGCTATCAATATGTACAATGTGTGCTGGTCTAATGCTATCTTTTCCTCCCAGCTTCCAAGCCTCAGCCCTCAATTGCAGTTCCAGATGAGTACCTCATCTCACCAATTACTGGTGAGAAGATCCCGGCCAGTAAGATGCAAGAGCACATGCGTATTGGTCTGCTGGATCCGCGCTGGCTGGAGCAAAGAGACCGCATAATCAAAGAGAGGCAGACAGAGGATGAAGTATATGCTCCTGGATTGGATATCGAGAGCAGCCTGAAACAGCTGGCTGAGAGGCGTACTGATATCTTCGGTGTGGAAGAGACAGCCATCGGTAAGAAGATCGGTGAAGAAGAAATACAGAAGCCAGAGGAGAAGGTGAGAAGAGTTATGGATCAAAAGAATCTCTTGTTGTTGAGTCAGTACAGTTTTGATAATCAAAGATTACACATAATGCAATACCAATGGCTTGTTTTCATTAATTTTGTATTTTTGTGCCTGCAACATTTGTGTTCTTCCTCCCCTCACCAGGTTACCTGGGATGGCCACTCTGGAAGCATGGCTCGTACACAGCAGGCAGCACAAGCCAACATCACACTGCAAGAGCAGATCGAAGCAATTCACAAGGCCAAAGGACTGGTGGGAGAGGATGATACTAAGGAGAAAATTGGCCCAAGCAAGCCGAGTGAAATTCATCACCAGCCTCCCATCCCCTCCTCTGCATCCAATTTGCCTAAACCCAGTCCTCCTGTCACTGCAGTTCCTCGCCCACCCTCTTCTGTGAGTTATTATCTTTAAAATAATATTTTATTGTGAATAAAATTTTGTCTGTACATATGTAACTCATGAACCAGTAATGTGCTTGTTAAACAGGTGGCACCCCCAGTGCGCACCACTCTCCTGTCTGCTGTACCTGTGATTCCAAGACCGCCTGTGGCTCCTGTGGTGCGACTTGCACCGGGACAAGTTATAACACCAATGCCACCCATGATTCCTGCTCCCCGCATCAATGTGGTCCCCATGCCACCATCAGCACCCCACATCATGGCTCCTAGACCACCCCCCATGGTTGTTCCAGCTGGTAAGCGAAAGGTTTCCAAACCCCGTCACTGACATTCAAAATAAATATGCATTGTTTAGGAAATGAATACTTTTTACTTTGTGCTAATTTGGTAACTGAATCTTTTTAACATATGCTTCCTCTTTTTATCATTTTAAATTCAAATCCTTCTTCCAGCATTCGTCCCAGCTCCTCCAGTACCACAACCACCAAGCTCTGCTCCTGCCCCACCGTCCCACCCACCGCCACCTCATGAGGATGAGCCAGTCACCAAGAAGATGAAGACAGAGGATAACCTTATTCCAGAGGAGGAGTTTCTTCGTAGAAATAAGGTTTGTTAGAGCAGTGTAATATAATTTTGTTTCTTTCTAAAGGTAATCACAATGTATGATCTGCATCTAGGCAAAATTCAAAATGCAGGATTCAAACTTTCTGTTATAGCTGAGACTATTGGCAGGTCTTATGTATACATAAAATACATACATTATATATACAGAATAAGAAAAGACAACAACCAAATTAAAGTTATGAATTGTTTCAGGTTTTTATATGAGAAATGTTTGTGAACACACAAGTAGATGTGTTTACTCATATTTGTGATGGCTGAGATTTCTGTTCATTGATAAGCCAACCTTATCAGTTTTTTCTACTGTCTTGCTGCAAGTTGCTCTTTCTTAATTAGATTTTTTTTCCTTTCCAGGGTCCTGTGGCAGTAAAAGTACAGGTTCCCAACATGCAGGACAAGACTGAATGGAAGCTGAATGGCCAAGTACTGAATTTCACTGTCCCACTCACAGACCAGGTATGCAGATGTCGGCTTGTTGTTTCTCTCTTTTTAGTGAGTGTATTTTAGTTCACATACTGCATTCTCATGGATGTGCAAATGCAATGTCTCCACAGGTGTCTGTTATTAAAGTCAAAATCCATGAAGCGACGGGCATGCCAGCAGGAAAACAGAAGTTACAGTATGAGGTAAACTTTCCTTTTATGCTTATTTAAACACGTGATGTCTCATCTGCATTAATCAAAACTGACTAATTGAGTAATATTATGTTTTTGTGTTCGATTTTAGGGCATTTTCATCAAGGATTCAAACTCCCTGGCTTATTACAACATGAGCAACGGTTCAATCATTCATTTGGCACTGAAGGAAAGAGGTGGAAGAAAGAAGTGAGCCATGCAGCAAGGAGGAAGAGATTTTTCTCATGGGTGATTTGTCACTCAGTGCTGTCATGTCATTTTAGTTAAATGATCATTATCAGAATATTATATTGCACTTTTCATACAATTTTGTGTGAAGAGCATGTTGTTCTTAAATGTTAACCTTGTTACTCAGATTGCAAAAAAAATTATACACTGTCTGGTTGGCATGGCTTCAACTCTTGATTTGTTCTTGATGATATATGGAGTTTGGTAAGTGTAGAGCCCCATAATGTTCATCCATTTAAATAAAGAAATAAAACATCTGTTTTTGTTGTTTCATAAGGATGTGTTAGATGAAAAACTGGTTAATAATGTGATTAAAAAACAGAAAATTGATTAATGTAGGCCACATGCTGTGATGCCCAAAATCCCAGGGTTGGTAGGTTAATAGTGTTGACTAAATTCCTGGTTTACAAGGAAATTTGCTCTGTGGTAGACTTAGATTTAGATGGATTCTAGTGCAGGAGAGAGGCACTGCCTTTAGTGAGTTGTTTTCTTTTTCCAGACATAAGAGTCACTTCCCAAGGCAGCCGCTAGGGGTAGCCGTGGCATTAAGACGCGGAAACCAGCCCAGGACGACAGACTGAGTCGCTCACTAGCCCAGTACAGCAAAGTACACTCGGGATGACAGAACGGCGAGCCAAGCTACCGTTAACCCGAGGGCGTGAAACCAGCCGGCTAACGAGCTAACGGAGTTAGTTAAAGGCTAACTATGAAAACCAAGATTGCAACATAGCGTTAGTTAGTTGAAGGTAGGGTCATTGTAGAAATACTTTTGGAGTTAAGGCTAACTTTACGTTACCAACCGAAGCATTGGCTAGCTAATGTTAAATCTGATTAAGCCTTCAAGTTAACGCAGCTTGCTAACGCATTAACCTATTTGATGTGGCCTGACAGTGGTAGCCCAAGGTTAGATAACATTTACTGAGAAATCTGTTGTTGGAAAGTTGAAATCACGTCGAGAAATCATGGCGTCGATGCTGTTTGATTCGACAACATATGCAGAGGAGCAGTTTTGACTTAGGGCTGTCAACAAGCTCGCTGACGTTAGCTATCCTGGCTAGCCAGCTAGCTCTCTTGCTAACATGGCCAAAATAGAAAACGGCCGTCAATCAGTGGACACAAGGAGTATCCGGACTATTAGCAGCACCCACATAGACGATGAAAGCTCTTTGGGATCCGACTCAGAGATCAACGGTTTCACCAGCGACAGACAAACCGATAAATATGGATTTATTGGTGGGGCACAGCAGTACTCGGAACAGTCGTAAGTTTGTTTCAACTCTCTCAGTCATTAATTTTCATTGACTTCATCATTGTACTCTCGGCAAACTAAAATATGGCCAGTTACATTTTATTCCACTTGAGCCAAAGTTGAGAACAAGGTTGTAGTGTTGCAGTTAATCTAGCTGTGATGACATATCACAAGTTGTGCTAGTGTTGTTGTCTGGACAGCAGAGCTCCCAACCAGCTGCGTGGCACAGTGTGTTTGCATGCCCACTCTTTGCCTCCTAACCCTAACCCTCAACATGGCAAATATAAAGGCAAGACGATCAAGCTGGATCAATAGCAAGTAGCTTTCTTCTTCATTCTGTCACGCAAATCATTTCATATACAGATATTATTTACCACACACACTATTTGTGGAGAAAGCCGAAAAAATGTTCTTCTTGCCAGGTTTTCATTTGAATCATATGAATGGATTTATTCATAGCCATTGAGGCGAGTTGCAGTGTTTTTTCAATGAAGGCCTTTCTTTCCTTCTTTCTTTCTTCCCTCTTTACTAGGGGCCCAAAGCCTACATTACAGCGCTAAAATAGTGGTAGGAGTGAGAGAAAGTTGTGCCAAGCACTGGCTGTTTGGGAGCTTCCTGTTTTCTGAAGTTTTGGCAGACTTGGAGCCATAGCTCCGGTGCCCCGTTACTAGAGGGCCTCTTTTGGCTCACAGTTTTATAGGTAGTCACGAATCCAGGATTTAACTTACAGTATTTGGCAGTGAAAGTAACTCATCAGTGTTTTAAGGTCTTTGGAAGCTGAGGCTGGAGTGTAACATATTGTTGCACTGATCCACAACATAAGCAGCCCACAACTTCTTCTTTTTTTTTTCTTTTTTTTTTTTTCTTTTATAAGAAAGAGGGCTGTCCAAAGTTAAAAAAAAACCCTCTTTGAAGACAATTGAACCCTACAATTACAGGCTTGTGCTGATGAGATAATTGCATAGCTTAGTAAAGCATCAGACCTCATTCATAATGTAGGTTAGACTTGCCTGCATTTTCTTTTTCTGCAGGAGAATATAATGTGAAGTCTTTAAGTTTTCTTGCCTGTAAATGTTTTGCAGTTAAATAACATCATAAGGCAGACAATCCTTGACTGCAGCACTTTGGGGTTAAACAGGCTTTACCATTAAATTGGCCACATCTGAGTTTGTATCTTTAGTCTTATAGTCTCTTCAAAAGACGTCTAGCAGTTGTTATTTTTGAGGCATTGCACAGTTTACTGGTTTCATATGAGTGATGCCCACACACAGATCTGATTGCACATGCGGAAAGATGAACAACCTCTCTGCTGTTTTCATGTTTTTGTTACACTGTCCCATCATGTTTATGCAATTTTGAGGTTAATTTCTATCTGACCTAATTGAAAAATATACACACCTTTTTTTACCTGACACATGCTTTCCCTCCAAAATTAAGAATAGATTTAGATGTCGTCCAGTCTCATTTGGTTTGATATTGATTTTAAAGTGCAAAATATGAAATGTATCTTTCCTGTCATTTCTCCGTTGTGTCTCCAGAGCTCAGGATGTGCCTCCAGAAGTGCTCAGGCAAAGGGAGGTGAAGTGGTTGGACATGCTCAACCACTGGGACAAGTGGATGATCAAGAGATTCGATAAGGTCAGTGTTCACTCAAGTAACACAAAACGTCAAGTGGCTTGTTTTGATTGGCCAGATTTAAATAAGTTGTATTTTTCTAACAGTTTTTTAAGGTTTGTGTCTGAGCTTTACCACCATTGTCTACACATAGCGGTCTTTCAGACACATGATCAAACAAGGTAAATAGCATTGCTCAAGTATTTGATTGCACAAGGATGAGACTTTTGTGGACACATTGTTTGCAGCTTCACTTGTCTAGCTGGTTCTCTGCGAAATGCTCTGTGCAATTCAACACAGAGCTGTAACTTCACCTCATTTCCATGAGTCAGCAGCAGGGCGGGACACGACACATCCCTATCGTCCCATGCACCGTGTGACAAATTCACAGCCTCAGATTCAGGGTGGGGCTCTTCTGACTTCCTGTGAGAAAACTATAATAAAGGTGCTGTGAATATAAACTATAGCTGTAGTCAAGTGCAAGTCAGCTCTTCAGAATGAAAAGCAGTGAACTGAGCAGAAGCCAGCTTTCACTTGCATGTTGTGCAGGTAGGTTCAAAGGTCATGCAGGGAAGGTCAGGGTTTTCCCACCCCTCGTTGTGACCCTTTGTTTTGTTTTACACAAGCTTCACAGCAGAAATCTCCTTGGGGAAGTGTGCCAGCTTCATATCAGACAAAGCAAATAAAAATGACCAGAAATGGTTAGGCAAGCAGAGCTAACTTCTATGTGATAAACAATTTTTATTTCAGTTTAATCAGCCCACTGTATAAACAGTGTCTCGTCACTATGCACGAAAGGTCTGAGTTGCATCCCTACTTTGACACATCACATGACTTGCGCTTAAGGTTTTACAAGTTGATATTTAGTTGTGTAGCACTGGGTGCATTAAGGCTGCTGTATTCCTGTTCCATTCAGAGTCAGTGCCATGCAAAAAGTGGTTTTCCTGAGTTAGCATCTCTGTGTATAGTGTTTACATAAATGATGTAGTGTTTAGGTATCTTTGGCTGAACATGCTTAACTCCTATTTACTACAGTATATATGAATTTATAACTTATTTGTGAAGCCCTTCTTATTGAGCTACACATTGTTAAAAAAAAAAAAGATGTTCTGTAACATAACATTGCTGCTGTCAATAGTTTTTGGCCAATAGCTTGTAGCGAAGTTGGACTGAAACAAAATACAGTACCAAAGTATACATCACATGACAGATTTGCAATGGATGTGTACAATTGAGACTTTAATAAGATAATAATGTTGATATCCCAGGAATACTGACTTATTATACTTATAGATACTTATTAGATTCTCTCAGGAGTGCAAGAACTTTGTAGTAATTTTTATTTACTGTCAAATGTCAAATTGTCTGCTGTGAGCAAGGCCCATAGATGACAGTGACATGACAGTGAGGCGTTAGTGTTTTGAACAGATGGGTACATTTTGCATGAATTCAGGAAGCGGAACCAAGACCAAGTGTCAGGTCTACTGTACATACCAGCTGGCATAATGCCTTTCTTGGCTTGCAGTAAGCCTTGGTCACACTTTTTCCGTTTGCATCTTCCTGTTTTTGGTGAACCCTGGTTTCTCTGTGGCACAGGTGAGGCTGAGGTGCCAGAAAGGAATCCCTCCTGCCCTCCGAGGCCGTGCATGGCTCTATCTGTCAGGGGGGAAGGTGAAGAAAGAGCAGAACCAAGGAAAGTTTCAGGTGAGAGAGCTTCTTCTTTCACTTCCTCCTCACAGCTCTCATTATGCTTTATTTTTGGGGTCATTTCATTTTTAAATTTCATTTGAATTTGTTACTGAAACTGCGGGTGTGCACCAGGGTTACTTCTTCCGTTGAGAACCTTGATGTTTTGTGCACAGGGCTGGATGCATTTCACCTTTAGATCAGTTTACAACGGGAAACGACCTGCTGTTTAATGGCTAATAATACATTACTTTTATAACTTTCAACCTCAGTCAACCTTTTCAGGATAATAAATTACAATTCTTTTAACACTACACTTATTACTGTGATAACTGAATCTCATAGGATGTCCACTTTCTAAATTGTTTTGATTTGAAACGCCACACTGCTCTTACTGTGCACCAAAGAGATCTCACGTCTCGTCCATGTGTTTTGAAAGGAGCTGGATAGTCAGCCAGGGGACCCCAAATGGCTTGATGTGATTGAGAAAGACCTCCATCGACAGTTCCCTTTCCATGAGATGTTTGTGTCACGGGGAGGACACGGGTAAGCTGTGAGACGTGATGTGACTTTACAGACTGACATTGATGACCGTGACTTGTTTGGCATTTCATTTGTCTAACTGCTCTGTGCGTCTGTATCTTGATTCTTCACAGGCAGCAGGACCTGTTTCGTGTTCTTAAGGCCTACACTCTCTTCAGACCAGAGGAGGGATACTGCCAGGCTCAGGCTCCCATTGCTGCTGTGTTGCTCATGCACATGCCTGCTGAGGTACTGTTTACTTTCCCTCCACCACAAACATTTAAACTGTCTCCTTTGGTGTAAATGTGCTGTCACCATACAGTGCTTACTGTGGAGTTATTGGTTGTCTGCACCAGTTCTGAAGGCTTGTTATTACTTCTATCTTTAAACTAGAAATCGTGTGCGTTATCTTATACTGCTCAGTTTTAATTTGTGACCTTGGACAAGTCTATTTTTAAGCTGAACAGCAGAGAGACTCACAGATGATGTCATCTGGAGCTGCTGCAGAGAGTGAATAATAGATCAACAGCAGCCATGGTGACCTAACAAGGGTTTATGCAGATTTTTTGACTTCATGCTCAGCCGGTTTTATCATCATAAGTCAGAATTTCTGGTATTATGTGACTTCCATGTGAAGACAGAAATGTCTTGTCAATGAACAGTCAGTGTCCTGACATCATGTACGTTTGTTTCTGCAGGATGCATTCTGGGGGCTGGTCCAAATTTGTGAGAAGTATCTTCCTGGCTACTACAGTCCTGGCCTGGTGAGACTGAATTCACGTGCAAGCACGCTTGATGAGATAACCAGGCTTTGCAAATGCAGAGAGAATACTTCACCTGACACTTCTGTTAAAAGAGCTATAATCCGCATTAACTAACAGAGCTTTCTCTGTGATTACAGTGCAATTTTGTTTTTGCAGACACAGGGATTCTGTGGTTATAAGTTACTGATGAAACCAGTGAGGCGTCGTTAGACCATAGTTTAACATTGGGTTATGTATTTGCCCAGCAACACAAGTAAACTATCTTCTGTAATTAATTTTGGCTGACGGTTATTGTTCAACATTGTTGTTTTCATATTATATAATTCTTTGTGGAAAATAGATTTAGGGATAAGATGTTTCCTCATGAAATTATAACATGGAGCTACAAAAGAAGATGTTACAACATCATCTGATAAGTCATGCATAGTGGGAAACAGTTTACACTTGGAGCAACATGCTGCATTTGGACTTGTTTTGTTTTTTTAATACATGAACATCCACATACATATCATGTTTCTGCCCAGACAATCCACAAGTACAATAGCTTTTGTCTCCTCTGTTAATGCTTTCCTACCTGTGTCTCTTTCAGGAAGCTATACAGTTAGATGGAGAGATCCTGTTCGCTCTGTTGCGACGTGTCTCCCCACTAGCCTTCCGCCATCTGGAGAAACACAAGATTGACCCCATCCTCTACATGACTGAATGGTTTATGTGTGCCTTCTCCAGAACGCTGCCTTGGGCCTCAGTGCTGCGTGTCTGGGACATGTTCCTCTGTGACGGTAAACAGTGGCTTACAGAGCTGTACTTTCAGTGGTGTCAGGTGTTGTAGACAAGCAGTACATTAGAACCTCTTAACTACTGAAACTCTTCTCCCTCTTTCAGGAGTAAAGATAATCTTCCGTGTGGGTTTGGTGCTACTTAAGTGCATGCTGGGGACCCGGGAGAAGCTGAAGGCCTGTCAGGGCCAGTATGAGACCATGGAGCTTCTCAGGGCCATAGAGCCTCGATACATGCAGGAGGGCTACCTCGTCCGGGAGGTAAGAGCAGAGGAGCCGCTAGGGAAACAATCCTTCAACAAGTGTGCAACAGGAGGAGTTAAGTTAATTGAACAAGATTCATTCAAATTACACTCTTCGGGTGCAGGCTTTTCATTAACTGACTCGTCGCCTGTTAAAGGTCATATATTGTATATTTAGTATGTTTTTCTTTCAGATGTTGGTGGCTGTTCACTCATATGAACTGCCTAAATCTGATATAATTGTGATGTAATAAAACTACATCATGTAGTTTGGGGTTTTTTGGGGTTTTTTTTGGCTTTACAAAGATATTTGGCCTTACTTACACTTTGGTTAAATATTCGTTCGTAGCTTGTCCAGTCAGAACTATGCACAGACAGAGTGGTATATGGAGTTTATTTGCATGGAAACAGTAGTACATGCAAATAACTACAAAGTTCAGTAGGTTGTAGTGAAGTGTTTTAGCATTGCACGTGTATGACTGCAATGTACAAAAGGTCATATTAAGCTGGCATGATCCTGTAATGATGTAGTGGAGGGTTATGTCACTCATTGAGGAGATGGAATTGATAGAGAACAATAAGTGTTCACAAATGTAGCCAAGGGAACCGCACAGAGTCTGAGACAGTGAATTAAGTCGACCAGAGCGCTGGCTGGCCAGTGTCTGCTTTCTGTGTGTGAGTCTTGTGTGAAGGTCTGTGCATGTTAACAATACCCCCTCTTATACACAGGGCTGTCTTGACCGTGAGTGACGGTGCATCCACAGCAGCCCCAAGGCCCTTTGGCATTTACTGACAAAGTTCACATTTTTAACACAATGGACAAACATGGAAGGAACATATTTTCCAGCAAGGGCTGGTCTTGTTGCTTCACATTTCCCTGATTATGATCTGTATGACTCCAGCTGTGACCTGATGACGTGTCTCTTCCTGTTGCAGATCCTGGAGGTGCAAGTGACCGCACGAGATGTGGAAAGAGAGCATCACACCCAGCTGAAGCGCTGGAAGAAGAACCGCGGAGAGCTGAATTTCAAGCCGCCTCCGAGGATGCACGGTGCGCGGCTCATCATGTTGGCCGAGCCGCCCAGGCGCCAGGACCTGCAGCAGAACCCCACCATTTTACTGGAGGTGCCTCAGCCCACCGCGCAGCTGAAAAAGGGCAAAGAGGAGAGGAAGAGCAAGAAGAAGAAGAGCATTAAGAAATCCCAGCCCACTATGGAGATCCCTAACCCTTACCCTCTTCTAAACGACCCTCCTCCTCCTCCTCCACCCTCAGATCCACCTGCTCCACCTCCTGTCAGGGACGAGACACCAGAGGCCGTGCCACAAACTGACACAGACTCACCTCACCAGCAGCAAGCGCCTCCTACAGACCTTCCCCCTGCCAAAGAATCTCCTCTTCAGCGATCCACACAAAGCCTTAGCAGCACAGAGCAGGATACATACCTGTAGCTCCACAGCAGTGTGTGTGTGTGTGTGTGTTGTGTGTGTGTGTGTGTGTCTGTGTCTGTGTGTGTCTGTGTGTGTGTGTGTCTGTGTGTCTATGTGTGTCTGTGTCTGTGTGTGTCTGTGTGTGTGTGTGTCTGTGTCTGTGTCTGTGTGTGTGTCTGTGTGTCTATGTGTGTCTTAGTGTGTGTCTGTCTGTGTGTGTGTACACGAAGCACCAGCACCCTCAGCCAACAACCAGCTGGCTTTGCCAAGGTCTCTGACTGGCCAGCATCGCTATTATTCTACTGTTGGACTGTTTTGTATTCATTTTAGACACCATTTTGCCTATGATATTATTGGTATACACTAAAGCAACATTGCTGAGTGTAAAACTACTTTGATGCTTGTGCCATTTCTCCACATGAAGCTGATGTTACCTCCTCTTAATGCTTGATGCTCTCATTTAGACCCTTAGTCTTAGTATCCTATTCACCAGGGAGACACGTTACTGAGTTTTTTGGGAGCAAAGACAATTCTTCAGACAATTGTGGTTTAAATGAAACTCAAGGAATAATGAGATGCCACAGCTTCTGCAGTTTTTTTCCTATACATTTCCACTCTAATTCAACACTATTGAGTTCACCTGTAATACTGTGCAGCAGTGACTATAAACCGCTGATACTAACTCCATGCTTTTGAGCCTCTTAAGCCATTATCTTTCATTAGGGGTGTTGTGCACTAGAGGGCAGCCTCGCAGAGGCTCCAGCCATAATTCCTGTTACATTACTTGTTAGTAAAGCTGATCACAGCAGGGAGGATTCGCTCAGTTTGGGAGGTATTTTTCTGAGGAGTTTGCATTTTTGCATTCCAGTAGGAAAACTTGCATTTCATGTTTCACATTCTTACATTTGAACTGAAAATAATCTTCTGAATCAGTGAAATTGAGTCACGCCACATTATGTTCATGCAAGTCTTTTTCTACAAGCACTATTTATTTAAAGAACAGTTCAAACATGAAATTTGTTGTTTGTGCATGTGCTGCTAGTGCACAAATGATCACATTTTTTCAGAGTCTGTTTAACTGATGTGGTTAAACTCTGTATGAAATATAATACTCACTGTGCCAGGCACTTCCAGCCACTTAAGAGCAGCATTAATTCATGTTACTTGGGCAGCAGAGAGGAGAACACTGGACATTCCTCACCATATGACACATTCCTGCCTTTTTAAAAGCTAATCAGTCTGAAAGCTGTCTCTTGCCAAATGCAAATCTGTGTAATCGATGTACAGTATTTGTCTATGTGTTTCCTGTCACAATTTGGGACAGTGATTGATTGCAAATTACCTAATGGTGCTGACCTTCCACTTGGCATAGCTCAAGTATCCAGTTGGGGGCCAAGCAGATCTTGCTGTGTAGTATGTTGGGTCATTTTTTTAATATATATATTTTGCTAGCATTTCCAAAGCAAATCAAGACTGTTGTTTTGAGACGATCTTCGACCAGTACCTGTGACCAAGCTTATTCCATTAGTACAGTTGAGGGATCATGAGATTTCAACATTTATTGGGATGTTTGTAGCATTTCTCTCAAGAGAACTTGCCTTGTTTCTTTGGGAAAGGTGGAGACAAGTGGGGGTTTGAGGCCTTTTTTTTTTTTTTTTTTTTTTTTTTTCCAAAAACATGTTGGACAATCTTTATTGCGATGGTCCAAGTTTGTTTTCTCACTTTCATCACAATGGTAAATGACAAAGGGAGTTTTGACAAGCATATGCACACGTGTGGGAAGTGTTTGTGTGTATCATTATCAAGAAAAGTCTTTGCTTAAACAAATGCATGTGTAGGTCAGTTATTATAAAAACAAAATGGGGTTTCAGATGATAACACATTGTCAAGCAGTCACTCGCCTGTATGCAATAGTTCTTTAGTTGCTTGTATTACACACCTCACATTCCGCTGACGTTATATTTTAATTTAATGCTGTTTGTGTAGATATGACATGTAAAATAACAATTTGTTTCGTAATGAAATCTATTTTTCAATGTATAATGCCATATTTTATTGAGCAGTTACAGAAACTGCAGAGGGGACATCTTTAAATCAGTTGCAGTCTCAGACGATATATTTTAGATCAGCATTTGTAACACTAGGAAAAAAAAAAAAACTTGTTCATCTGGAATTTGGGAGGTGACCTTTGACGCTTCAAATGACGGATTGGTATTTTACCATTCACAACAGGTTTATAAAAGAGATGAACCAATGGGCAGTATGCATCATCATGAATTTAAATTTTACAAATAAAATTTTGTTTAAACCAAACTTGCATCATTGCTGTTGCATTTTTACTGTCACTCTGTCATATAACCTGAGCTAATGTATTTTGACACATTGATCTGTCTGCATGTTTGTATGCAATGTGTTACAATATCCAGCAGATGGGGCACCAGAGTCATCACCTTGAAATGAAGCGGTGCTTTCCAATGTGGGTGTCATAAGGAAAGGCCAAGGGTGTCCCAAGATGTGTTCATTTCCATTTTTTGCAGTACATTTTTAATAATGCTGCACTGCGTAAAGCATGTGAAAAAATGACATAACTGCTCCACTTTTAAACAAAAATATAGAAAACTATTTAACCAGCAAGCATATATATTTGTTAGTTTATTTTAAGTTTAGTATTAATCTGCAAATTTGTGTGTGTGTGTGTGTGTGTGTGTGTGTGTGTGTGTGTGTGTGCGCGCGCGCACATGAGGAATGCCATGAAAACAAATACCTATAAAGGGAGTGTCACTGCTTCAAGCAATCGCTTGATGTTTTGTGAGATGAGCTTATTTATCTGAGAAGATTAATACCACTCTTGTGCTTAGACTAATTAGCACATTATATCTTATTATCTACACAAAAACACTTGATAATGTGTTGGACTATTTCTCTGCCTTACAGTGAGCTTTAGGTGTGCTGAGAGGTGTTTCCCCATGTTTCCAGTATTTATGGTAAGCTAAGCTACCCGGCAGCTGGCTTCACCTACATATTTAACGTAGAGGTATGACAGTGGTATCAACCTCCTCAAAACTGTATCCCTCTGCAAAAAAAGCGAATAAGCATATATCTCAAACTATTCCTTTAAAACAAAAGTTTGGGAACTTTTTACTTTGGTAAAGCAGTTGTTGAGTGAGGTTAAAGAGATTTGAAAGCTTCCTAAATACAGTGAAGATTAGTTAACATTCACTATCACTGATAGTGTAATAACCTAAATTTACACACCACCATAGATTTTCTCTTCTTTCACAATGTAATTCTGCACTATGTCAAATCTATCATCTCAGATCAGACGCCACAGTACAAAATCTTATCAAGTCCATGGTCTGGTGTCTGTCTGTCTCTCTGAGCATCTGGAAATGAAAAGAAGATTTGTGAAGGTGCTGTAGGAGTGTATCCATTCATTATTATTATTCAAATGATTTTATTGAACTTTTCCAAAAAAGAACAAAAAAAAAAACACGTAACATAAACTATCATCACTAAATACATGAACCAAACCAAGACACAGAGACCTGAAAAAAACAAAAAACAAAACTCGTCTAACAGGCGATAGCTACTTCATAAGATTCGCATCATAATCTCATTATGGAAACTGAAAATACAGGCAGGTCATTTTACTCTGTAGCAGGATAAATGGAATCAAAATGATCCAAGAATGGTTGCCAGACATAAAAAAATTTCTGGACAGATCCCAGAGTTAAATATTTAAGCTTTTCCGCTTATCACCTCCCTGACCCATTGTTTATGCGAAGGAGGTGTGTGTATCCATTCATGACAGAAGTATTTAACCTTTCTCCTGTCGGGTTTTCACCTCGGCTTGAACAACTTCCCCCCCTAAAGAGATCATCCCTGCTCCCTCTCCTCGTTTAGACTAATGACAGGTTACTATTCTTTTCTTAATTCACTGTTTGACTTGCCAAATGCCTCTTTTCTCCACCTTGAGGTGTGGGATATTTGAAGTTGGCCCTAGGCTTTAAAGAGCTCATTGTAAATTGTTACCTTGATGACCTCAGTGAGCCTGCTAACTCATTTCTAATCGTCCAGCAAGGCGTGAGCTGCAGCTGTTGACCTCTGGTCATCGGGGGCTAGGCGTAGTGATTAAAAGAGAAGGCAGCAACTTGCAGGTAATTTGAGAATGGTCATTGTCTTTAAAATAACAATTTAATACATTTTACATTGTCATTATATAACTGTAGGTAGGCAAGGTGTGTGTAGATATGATTCATCTTCCTTGGAAAGGGAGTACCTGTCAATATCTATTAATCATACTAACCCATTATGTCATACCACCAAGGCCATTACGGACCATTATGGGGTCTGTTGATGTTTGCCCACATGAGGCACAGCAACAGTTAATGGTCTAGGTCCCTGAGGAATGCATGCACCGTCACGCTTTCCCTCTTTGCATCAGACACCTGGCCCTCTTTCAGTGCCACCGTGCCATTTACATCTCAAAGGGGGACGACCAAGAAGGCTCTCTCTGTGCTCCCTTCCTTACTCCAGAAATGATCTGATTTATCTCTTCATCAACGGAAATATATGCCTTTAGAGAGCCATCCCGCCTCTCTCATCCCCAGCTAATAGAGATGGGAGAGAGAGCAGTAAAAAGAGAGACTTGTGATCCTCCGTGTGATCCCAGACCCAACGGACCCCTGTCACAGTGCTTGATTCATGTGATGCGGGTGACTTTCTTTCTGCTCCCAGGCTCAATGTGTTAAGGCATGGGAAGGGGGGTGAGGGGGGCGGGTGGGGTGGCATAACGCAAAGCAAAGGCGCCTGTGTTCCTGAGGTATCCGATTCCCACGTTTGATGGAGCATGACAGGTTGGCTCAGGTCAAATTAAAAGGCCACAGTAACAAATATGAGGGCAGACATTGTGATCGTCTGTGCAGGTGAACTCTCCATGGCAGTGGGAATAAAAAGTTATTTATTGCACTGAGGGAAAACATTAGTGCAAGAGGCATTAAGAGGGGGGATCCCTGTGAGGGGGGCCGGGGTGGATAATTGAATCATCCCTGTGTTGTTGTTTTTTTTTCTGTGTGGACCTCTTAAGTTC